GCCTGAAATACATATGTATCATACATGATACATATAAATGCATATATCCTACATAGGTACACACTTGGTTCTTCTACTGGTATGGCAGTGAGATAGCAATTAGAAGCACCGTGGTTGGTTGTTATATCCTCAGTAGGTACTGGTTCTGTGGGTGTGGTTTGGTGGGCGTGGCAGGGGAAGGATACTGTAAAATCTCCATTCCCTCCCCACTCCAGGGGAAGATTACTGCAAAATCCCCATTTCCTGCCGATCAGCTGGGACTCGGGAGGCAGAGAATAGATGGGGGCAGGGCCAGTCAGAGGTGATATTTAACGGTTCTCCAACCAGTCAAAATTTCCACTACCGGTTCTCCAGAACTGGTCAGAACCTGCTGAAACCCACCTCTAGTTCATATGGGCATCTTCCTTCCTTCTTTCCTGTCTTTTTGGTCCACTTGAAGTGAACTGGCTTCGGATCAATTCTGCCTTGACATAGGGGCTGCGGTTATTGTATACTGAACCACACTGAACCACAAAATACTCAATCACCTTTTAGTGTAATATAATGTGAATCCAGTCCATATTGTTAGTTAATTGTTCAGTGTGCCCTATGAGTTGGATTAGATGACCATTCTATACATTCTTTTCACCATGTGAATCTGGTATGTTTTGCTTGTGAGAACTAATTATGTCCTTCCTTCTTTACTCCTTACGCTGTTTTTTTGTGAAAAATCACATGCTGGCGTGTAAATGATGGATGGCAGCCATTTTGTTGTGGTTGGGGTAAATCTTTACCATTTTGCCCAGGAGATATAGCTATAAATTACCTTGAAAGCACCTGTGGGAAAATAACTTCATGCTCCAGCACATATAATGTCTTAATTAGCTACTAACAATGCCAATAAATTGAATGTGTTGGAAAATAATGACTTCCGTGGCTAATTTTGATCTATATAAGTAGCACAAAAAAAAGTTACAAAGAAAGAAAGACACCCCCCCCCCCCCAAGAAAACGGGCTGAGGAAAATTTTTACACTAAATATCAATTTTTAGTAATAAAAACTAGATGTAGGTAACTTTTCACTTCTTGCGGAATTTAGCTTAACAGCCATGTCCAGTGTTCCATCAGGTATAATGTTATTTCCTGTGTTATTCCTTATTTAGAAAAGCATTAAAAAGTAAGAATGCGCTCCAGGCCTACATTAATGCTTGAAATTAGGCATGTACATTTACAGTTAACTAACGTCCTGTTTAAAAGACCGTGCCTCAGTATATAATCCTTAATAAAATATAAACCTATAAAAATTTAAATAATGGGAAATTTGTTCTGAAATGTGTTTTTTGTCTGCAATGGCACTGTCTCAAGGAAAAAAAACCCAATCTTTAAAAAAATTAGTTTTGTTCCTTCTATAAGAATTTAATATAAATATGATAAATGAGAGAAGATTAGTGCTAGAAAAAAGTGTCACTAGCAAATTTTCTAATATTGGTATGTCATTACTTGGACAGTTTTGACTTCTTGATTTGGATGTCAAAATGCAGATCTTTATACAAAACAACACTCATATTTATTGGTGGGAAAATGGGAATGGGAATGCATTTCCCTAGGCAGCCTTTTCAGGCAAGGATGGGGAGGGGACTTTAAGGGATGTGTCAGAACTGCATGATATAAAGTATTGGATGGAAGTTGGATAAAAACTAAAGTTGATTTAATTTCATTTATGTATTAAAATTAAGTACAGTTAAGGTCGACTCTTCAGTTATAGATTTAACAATTTCCTGTATCCATCATATTTTGATCCTCAAGGCTATACTCAAGACCATTGGAGCAATCTGCAGTGGTAGTCTCAGACTGTGCAACTCTAACCTAGGCTGCCCCATTGATATTCCATTTGAAGCCTGCTGTATGAAGTGTTTCTGTTTGCAGTATTTACACACATAGATTTTTCTCTCAAGAATGGGTCTGTCCTCGTTAACCTTCTTCTTTTGCACCAATTACCACAATCACAGGGTACAGTTGACATGGCCCTGTAGCCTCCTTTTTATACCTTGAATGTGTGCAGGAGTCTCTGAACATCATTTATTTTAATTATTATTTTTTTGGAAGAAATTATCTCAAAGACCTTACCACCCCAGGTTTTTAACAGCTGCAGCACAAGTCAAAACAATGAAGTGAAGCTTTCACTTTATCAGGCAACTGCTTTCAGCGTTATAAGGGATAAGGTCATAACAATAACAACAAAAATTTAGAACAGCCATAGATCAGACTCAAATTATAGAGAGAAATGTTTTATCCTCTTGATGTACAATATATCCAAAGAGTAATATATCCAAATTAGTTGTCCTGTTGCATAATAGTGATTTGATGGTGTAACTTGGCAGTTAGATAGCAGCTGGAAGATAATTTTGAGATTTCTGTTCACTGTGACAATAACCTATATTTGGGTTTGCCCAGGTAACTTTTACAAACTATCTATAGTAGTCTTTATATCATGTCGGAATGTGGTAAAAATATAGAAGGCATGTCCTATTGCATTACATAACCAGACAGATCTGCCATCTTCAGCTTTGTGCTGTGCTGGCATCCTGTCATAAATTGTTGGGGGTGGGGGAGAAAGGAGGCAATTGGCATGTGGAGAGTAGAGATGAGCAAGGGTGTGTGTGTGACAAGCTTGATGGAAACCAGAGTTGTGAGAACAGGCCTATTCCAGTCTTCAAGGACACCGAGCCTGGGAAAAGAATATGCACCAAACATCAGAGCTGGTCCCTAAGCACCATTGGACAAAAACAAGGAGTGGAGTCGGGGGGAGGGCTGGAGAGAAGGAGAAATCTGTAATGCTTTGCATGGGAATCCAAGATCTAGCCTTGCTTTTGCTCCAACCCACTAATCCTTAGTAAAAGAACCTATCAAAGGAGTTGAGGGTCTTTCTTTCCTAGGGACCTAGCTGAAGCAGGTCTGACATAACCCTGGGACCTGAAGGTTTGTTCCATCTGCCCTTATGCCTGAGCAGGAGATGCCTGTTGAACCCTGAATGAAATTTAATCTAAATCGCATGTTATCATCAGTATGGGTGCAGCCCAAAACTGATCATAGATAAATTTGCTTAGTTACTGACAACAGCTGCTGATAATCTACAATGATGAAGTAAATGAATGAACTGGTGAAAGTTCATTTAAAATTATGGGGCAAATGAAGTTATCAGGGAAAATTGGGCATTTTGGTCACAGCTAACATTCACAAATCCCTCTCCTACTTTCCAGATTAGCAATAAGAATAGTACAGAGTATTGGTTGGAAAATTATCCCATCATCTAAAAAAATGCCATTTTTCTTGTGGCCAAATCTGCTTTGAGCAGATCCATTTTTAAAGTGAGGAACAGGGAGAAAAATTGCTTTTCTTTTTTTTTCTTTTTTTTCTTCTTCTTTTTTTTTGATCTGTGCTGTCAGTGTGATATAGAACAGGGGTCTCCAACCTTGGCGACTTTAAGACTTGTGGACTTCAACTCCCAGAATTCTTCAGCCAACAAAGCAAAGCTGGCTGAGGAATTCTGGGAGTTGAAGTCCACAAGTCTTCAAGTTGCCAAAGTTGGAGACCCCTGATATAGAATATCAAAAGATAAATTGAACTTTTGAGTAGGAAACAGCAGAAAAGCAGTAGGAACATGTCAACAGAAGAGAATATGGGAACACTGTGATTCTTTCAATTGTTTGTATTTTGATTACTGTAATTTATATTGGTTGCATTTGTACAAAACACCAAGCATTAAATCAATAATACTGGCTGATCTTGCAATATCACATCAAGCTGTGAATTAACCACCTATATTTTAGAACATAGAATAACAGAGTTGGAAGGGACCTTGGATGTCTTCTAGTCCAACCCCCTGCAGCAGGAGACCCTTATACCATTTCAGACAAATGGCTGTTCAGTCTCTTCTTAAAAGCCTTAAGAAGCCCACAACTGTTGTGGCCCCGCCCTCTGAGCCTGTCCCATCGGAGGAAGAAAGCTCCGAGCATGAGGAAGAGGAGTCAGCCAGGCCTCCCTCTCCAGGCCCCTCCCCTCTGGCATTGTCTCAAGTGCCGGCCGAGGGAGAAGAGACAGCTGATTCGAATCAAAGTGATAATGAAACATCATTCCTGGATGCACGCCTCCGAAGGCGTGATAAACGTTTGCAGCAGCTTGGGAGGCGTGCTAGGGATTAGAACTGAGTCACTGGACCACACCCCAGAGACTATATAATAGAGGGTAGTGGTCAAGGATCTTTTGTGACGAACAAAGCAAACTTTGGATAGTCACTAAAGCCTCGTCCGGAGCTGCTGAGAGAAAGATTTAAAGTGTCGGACATTTGGACTCTTGAGTATTTTGTCTTTCTGGTTTACTTTGAAAATAAAGTCACTTGGCAGACGGTGTGTCTATCGCTGCCAAGTGGGAGATAAGAACTGGGTGCGTTCCAAAGTGTTTCCTTAACCCTCGACTGGCTGTGTGTGTGGGGGGGGGGTACGGGGACAGATCAACAACTTCTGAAGGCAAGCCAATCCACTGATTCACCATTAGGAAATTTCTCCTTAATTCTAGATTGCTTCTCTCCTTGATGAGTTTCCATCCATTGTTTCTTGTCTGGCCTTCTAGAGCTTTGGAAAATAGGTTGACCCCCCCCCTCTTCTTTGTGGTAGCCCTGACACACTGGATGTTACTAAGATCCCTGAACCAATAGTTATCTTTATAGGGTGCTATCAATAAAGTTGGGAGCATTTTTATTTCTAGTGCAACCTGGTGTGTCCATGTTTACATTACCCTGTGTCCTCTCCCACCTTTCCCACTATGTTAGGTACCGCCATGTGAATTTTTTATTAAATTTATTATTTATTAATTATTGCAAAAAACTGTGAAGAAAGAGTGGAGATTTGCATAAGAGGATCTAATTAGAAGAGATAAGAAAAATGTCTTATTACCCAGGTGACCTATACTGTACTGAAAGCCCTTTGAATATGGGCATCACTCAATTTCTTCTTGCATTTTCAGGTTACATCCAAGCATGCAGAGGACTCATGATTGCTGCTGTCTGCCTTGGGTTTTTTGGCTCTGTGTTTGCCCTGATCGGGATGAAGTGTACAAAGGTTGGAGGCTCAGACCAAGCTAAAGCTAAAATTGCTTGTTTTGCTGGAGTGATCTTTATTATTTCAGGTAAATATGAAATGATCAAAGCTAGAGTTTTTCTAGGCAGATCAAATTAAGTGGGAAAATTGCTGTCGATTGTAGATTCTGGTGGATGTGTATCGAAGCATTTCCAGATATTAATCTGTTCTGCACTTGATGCATTTTTTTAGGACTGAGTGCATTGACTGGTTGCTCCCTCTATGCTCACCGAATCACATCTGAGTTCTTTGACCCCACATTTATTGCACAAAAGTAAGTCCAGTTGAAAAAAAACCACCGAGATAGGTGTTTTACTTGCTGCTTTGGTCTATCTGCCTGGTTCAGAGGAATTAACCTGCCCAAAATAAAATTTAAACTGGCTATAATGAAATAAAACAACTGCTGCCTTTTGAACGCCATTAGTATTTCACTGATGTTAGAATGGAAGATTACAAGGTCCATAGGCTTGAGCTGTCTTAGACAGCTTTGAAAAATATATTTCAGTACAATATAGCTAAAAGAAACTAACAAAAATTAAAATCTTTTGCTCTGTTTCTGAAGTTAAATCAACCGATAGCTGATTACCTATATTCTAGGATCTTTTTTTCATCTTTCTAGTTATTGCAACCAAAACTGAAATTTATAGCAAATGATCTAATTCTATACTAATTCTTGCCCACAATATATTTAGTAGAAGTGCTCTCTTTGTGACCCAGCAAGGATTATTCTGTTATAATTACTCAAATGATTATTATTGCTGAATTACAGTATATGCAACAAAGCACTCGTGTTTTTTTTTATTGCAGATAATTTATGACTTCTTTCCTTGTAAATACTTAAGATATACACTGGAAAGCAAGACAGTAACTTCTCCAATTATTGGAGAATTGGAGAAGTGAAGAGGGAATTAAACCTTCAATGCCCTTCAATGCCCTAAAACAAGCCATAATTCAAATGGCTTGTTTTAGACAGGAGCAATGTTTGCCAAGCTTTGATTTTGGGAGGGTGAGGATTGCAGTGGAAAGAGCAAAAATTATTTAAATTTTTGTTAATACAATGAATGCCTTAATTTAGCCTTATAAACACTTTGCATCAAGTAAATAAAACTGATTTGTCGATGAAACTATTTATTAAACATGAATTATCACCTATCTGCAGGTATGAACTGGGAGCCGCTTTATTCATTGGTTGGGCTGGAGCATCGCTTTGCATAATTGGTGGCAGCATATTCTGCTTCTCCATTGTTGAAAACAAACAAACTCCACGGTACAGACGACTGCTTTTGTTAAAATTAATATTAGTAGATTTCTAGTTAATAAATTGTAAAAAGATAAGAAGCACTAATCCAATCTTCAAATATTTCAGAAATAACCCTAGTCAATAGTTAAGAATGATTAGTTGAAAAAAAAAAAGAGGAAGTTAAAAACCCTCTGCTTTTAGGGAAAAAAACTTGTTAGTTACTGCTCATCTCTTTAAAATTTAAACATAGAATTAGAAGTCATGTAGCATAAGCTGATAGTTAATTTAGGCCACATAAGATGCCTTAGTGCTTCCTCTTTAAAAGAATGCTGTTTGCATTTTCAGTGCTTTTAAGATGCATGAATGATTCATGGCTTATGTTTAAATTTCCTGGGTGTTTTATTTTCACAGAAATAGATCTTTGTGAAACTACCTCCCAACTATTTCCCTTTATCTAGAATAGTACTGAGTCAGCAGTATTCACTAGTAGCCCTTTCTTATCCTTCCAACCTTTCTTTCCTTTTCATCTATCTATTATAAGTTATATTAATTTAGTTTCCAGGTACACAAAATATGAAAGAATTGAGTCAAAATTGGGATCTTGAAGAAGACATAAATGTTGAGAATGTTGACTAAAAATAGGGTTGTAATAAGAATTTATGAAAGATTCTACACTTTCCAGCATGAGCTACGTGTAGCGCCAGTCTTAATTTGGGAATGGATCCTCTGAATCACATAGGATTGATTTCTGAGTAAGCAAGCTCAGGTTGTGCTGTTTTGGACAAACAAGTACATCTCAAAAATTTAAACTCCATGCCTGAATTGAAGCTTTTTTAAGGACAGCTTGCTACAATAAATGGCACGGAGAGAAAAAAACAAACATTGATTTCGTGGTTCTGTACTTGGTCAAATAAAATCAGAGGCTGCTAGCATGACTGAAATGGTAAGAAATAGTTGCTAAACAAATCCTTTTATTCCCTTCTGAAAATAAAGTGGTAGTTTCTAAACATCAGGTAACAGAGCCGTGGTGGCACAGTGGTTAGAATGCAGTATTGCAGGCTAACTCACTGCTTACTGTCAGCAGTTCGATTCTGACCGGCTCCAGGTTGACTCAGCCTTCCATCCTCCCGAGATCAGGAAAATGAGGACCCAGATTGTTGGGGGCAATATGCTGTGTAAACTGCTTAGAGAGAGCTGTAAAACAATATGAAGCAGTATATAAGTACTGTTGCTAACAGAGTCCCTTTCCCTGTTTTTAGTGCAAAGCAATTAGAGGTATCTGCCTGGGGAAGCTCTGTGACATTTGGGAATGTTCCACAGGCCATCCTTCATTGTGTCATCAATAATAAGGTACCAGCTGCCTTTCCCAGCTTGGCCATTAAGTCATGCTGTTAGCATTTGACCCTGTAGGGCTTTGACCAATTGACCTCCATGGTATGGTCATAAAGGCAATTTTAGCTTCCCAGATATTCACCACGAGCATATTCTTCAGAACACACCTATATTTTTCTAGATATTTGATTATAAGCTCAAGACGGCTGTGCAAAGAATCTTTAGTTCAGGCTGAGAAAAACTGTTTCTACCTTGCTAGTAAGTATTCCTACATTGGAGAAGTTTTGAAAATTGTTCAACATTCCACCCTGTACTTTTGGTTACAGAAAGCTTTTCTCAAGGATTAGCAAAGTATTAACGCTATTGTTAGACTGTCACTTAAAAGTATTACCATTATTCTTGTTAAAACGGGCACTTAAAAGAATATTGAGACTTGACCACAAGTAGCCTCCTGAACTGCAATAATGCCTGAAAAGTTTTTTCCCAACTTGAACAAAATGGATGGGTATGATATCGTTGTTGTGATTAAGGTATGAGTCAGTAGTGAGTTCCTCTTACCTTTGCTACTGACTTGTAACCGGAAGTGCATGCACGCACAGCCCTTCTGCACATGTGCGTCCATGATGTATGGGCAGGTGGGTGGAGCCTCCCCTGCCGTCACTACCGGTTCACCCGAACCGGAGCAAACCAGTAGAAACCTCCCACTGGTATGAGTACATGCAGCCCCTGCAATTCATCCGAACAGCCGTATCTTTTTCCAGGACTGTAAGGCAGCTGTGGGATCCTGGAAATTGATTCTGCTGCTTTAAATGAGCTGCAAAGTGGCTGTGCTCATCCTTCCTTGTATCCCAAAATGTCTGTCTATAGTAGAACCTAAAGCACACAGTAGCCCCATGAGATCTTCCTTTCAATATTTCTTGATATTTAAATGAGCTCTAAAACTTTCTCATGTTTCAGGATGGTATATGCGTACAACAAACCAGGTTCTGTGATGTCTTCTCGAACCAAGGCCTACTCGGCAGATTTTAAAGCATCCAAGATCCCTCCAAAGCACTTCGACAAAAATGCCTATGTGTAAATGGATGCTTGGAGGAATTTTTTTGTTATTAAGAATCATAACGTATGTACTGTCCATCTGCAGAATGATTTTTAAAAGTGGCTTGGTGTCTTGAGCATCAGCAGTTTTATAACTATTTTAACTGTTTTATAAATGAACTTTTGTCTACTTGATGTAAATTTTCTTCATAACTTGTTTTAAGATTTATACTTATACTAGACATAATTTATAACTGAAAAATAACTTGCTATGTTTTGCTTTCTGTAAAAAGAAATATAAATTAAGTCGTTTTGATTACAGCCAATATTGTCAGGGATCTTCAGAATCAAACATAACAATTGCAGCTTTTAAATGGATCCATCAGTTTTGAAGATCTGCTTTTAATAACTTGGGACTAGTTATAAAAGCACGTTAAAACAGATAGAGTTAAGCTTAAGCAAGATCTTAATAATGCATTATGAAACACAGTTTTAATCCCAGTATCACAATTATATGGATTAACAATCCCCCACACATACATACCCAAATACCCTGTAACACAAAACAAATATTTTCTTCCTTAAACTTTCCAAAGGTTGAAATTGGAATTTTAGATTTACATAAGGCAGCTTGTGTTCCATTAGGTATCATGAGCAGATAAATGTCTCTATTTCTGAGGAGTTTCTCTCTGTAGTTTCTTAATCCCTCACCTTCAAATTAGTTGATTTAAATCAAGGCAGTCTCGGGTATTGATTGAAACAATCAACTGTGTCCCTGAAGATTTGTCACATTGCTCTAAAAATTGAAAGTCTCATCAGACCACCAAAATGTACAATGTAATGTACCATTTGATTGTATCATTTTATTTTGTGTAATATTTTTAGATGTGATTTAGTATTGGATTTTTTTTTTATTTTTTTTTTGTGCCTGCTGGTCAGAATTAATGCCTGGAAACTGCCTGGACTAATCCTGCAATTTTTTTTTGCCAAGTGTTGTTTCCCCTTTCCTTTCTCTTCCAAGGACAGAGTGTGAGTTACTGGCCCAAATTCACCCAGCTGGCTTTGTGCCTACAGCAAAACTAAAACCCATGGTCTCCTGGTTTCTAGCCTGGTGCCTAACCACTACATCACACTGTTTGTCATAGTATTATAGTATATAATTATAATTGTAGTGCAGTAGGAATGTCTTCCTTGTTTTTCTCCTGGTGACAAAGCTTCATTGCCTTGATACACATTATACCGTTAAAGACCAATCCTATCCCATATCTTTTTGTAAAATATGAAACTCGTTGAAATTTAGGATCCTCCACAGACAGATTTTTTTTTTACTAGAGAACCACATTGTACATTTAGATGTCAGTAATGAGAAGATGGAGAGATGGAGCACACACATACTGGTTTCCAGATATGCTTACTTGTGCCTAGAATTAAAAATACCAAATGTTTAGGGAAAGAATGAAGAATAAGAAAGGAACAGAGCCTTTTAATCATTTTTATGAGACCAGAAATGTAGCTTTAGTAATTGTTTTGGATTAGAAGAATGTTTAGATGAACCTTATTGTTTAGTTGGGTTTAAAATAAACAATTCCATTTTTTTAAAAAAAAAATCTTATTATTTTTATGCCCTTTGTCCTCAAATTCAGTTCAATTTTTGCTTATTGAAGGGTCGTTTAGGATTACTAGGGCACAATCTATGAAGTACACTGAAGTTATTAAATACCCTGAAACGCTAAGTAAGATAGCATCTGGTATGATCATTGATCCACCCGTCCCCTTGAGCAATTATTTCTGCATGCTCAAGGCAAAAGGCAATTTTGCTTTTCATAAGTAGAGGCAGAAGTCAAAAGCAGAGGCATATCATCACCTTCTTTTGCAGGCTTGATAGCAATGACAGATGAGCACAAAGGGTAGGTCAGAGGTCAGGTTTGACTGGTTAAAAAACGCATGCTGAAAGTGTTCAACTTAAGGTGTCGCAAAAGCATTTTAATGCATCCTTCCTATGTTGCTTCAACCGATCCCCGAGCAGTGTTCATATAACCTGATATTATCCTTAATATTCCTGCACTCCCCATTTGTGCAAAAATACAAAGCTTGGGATTCTCACACAGTCAACTTCTTTACCATTAAGGAAATCTGCTAATCTTTTCTCAAACTGGGTGGCTCCTTTCACAGAACAGCTGTATCAACAGATGTGGTTGGGTTTTTCGGGTAGGGACTTTCAGCAGATGTGCAGCTCTAACTTTCAGCTCAGATGTTACACCAGAGGAAACTGAATAGGTTTTGCAGTGTTTCCTATTAGTACCACTTTATAAATCCTTAGAAAAGACCACACCTGAAATACAGCATCCAGTTTTAGTCGCCACATTACAAAAAAGATGTTGAGACTTTGTGCAAAGAAAAGCAACTAAGATGATTAAGGGCCTGGAGACAAAAACATATGAAGAACGGTTGCAGAAATTGTTTATGGCCAGTCTAGAGAAAAGAAGGATTAGGGGAGGACATGATAGCGGTATTTCATTATTTAAGGGACTGCCACAAAGAGGGGGTCAACTCATTTTCCAAACCACTACAAGGCAAGACAAGAAACAATGGATGAAAACTCATCAAGGAGAGAAGCAACCTGGAACTAAGGAGAAACTTCCTAACAGTGAGGACAATTAACCAGTGAAACAGTTTGCCTTCAGAAGTTGTGGGTGCTTCGTCACTGGAAGTTTTTAAGGAAAAACTGGGCAGCCACTTGTCTGGAATGGTATAGGGTCTCCTGCTTGAACAGGGGGTTGGACTAGAAGACCGCCAAGGTCCCTTCCAGCTCTATTCTGATTGATAATGGTTCTCATTGGTGGAATGCCTCTTTTATCCTGCCTCCTGGGAATTCCCTTCCTGAGTGACTCTTGTTCCTCCTCATCTCCCAAACCCTGAAAGCAACAAAAATGAAAGTTGGCAGTGATGCAGAGAGCAAGAAAGTCCAGGATAGGAGCTGCATGGAAGTGCCAGGAATCAAAACAAAGCCAACTTCTTCCAACATTTTGCTCGTCCTGGATGTTGGAAAAGCAAGAAAGTAGCATTATAATAAAAATAAGTTTATATAAGGTCTTTGTATGATTTAAATAAGTGTTTTTTTAAAAAACTATTAAAGCAGTATTAATTGATAAAACACTTTTTAGCCACTTCTTCCAGGAGAACTAGCTGAAAGTAATTAAAAGCTCGCGTTTGATAAAAGGTAAAACTTTGGACACAGTTTTGTAAAGAAAAGTTCCTTGTTAGTGCACCATAAGAAAAAAGGACAGAAATCAGATTAAACCTCCTTGCACAATCAAATATCTGAAGAGTCACTCCAATCTGTAACAGTGACCAAGCTGCTTTTCGGTGAGCTTGACATATCTGCATCTGGACGTCCTGTTTAAAAACAAAACAATTTTGAAAGATTATTCAGTGAGAAAGATGCTACCATTCCCTGCCACCTATTGTTTCATATTCTTACACTTAGATAGGTTCTCGTTATTATCCAGTCTAAATCTTTTTGGAAAAATGCCATCTCCCATAACCAGAGTTGGCCAATGTGGGAACTTTCCAGCTTTGGAATTAGTGCCATTGGGCAAAGCTAGGAAATGCATGAAACTCTCACCACCCTCTCAGTGATTGCAATGGGACAGTTGTACATCTTGTTGTCATAGGAACTCTTTCTTCTTCAGCACTAAGCTATTATGTAACTGGTAGGTCTATGTCAGGGGTGTCAAACTCAAGGCCCGGGGGCCAGATCTGGCTCGCGGGGTACTTAGATGGAAACAGCAAAGATCTGGCCTGCGGTGCCTCTGTCAATGAAAACAGTTTGGGGAGGCGGAGGAAGAAAGGAAGGGGATTATAATGAGAGGTTTTGAAGGAAGTCCTGCCTTAGCACTTGGCCACCACAGGTGTCCCCGACACAAGTGACATCGATCTGACCATGCCCATCCTGGCCACACACTCCATACCCACCCTGGCCCCCCTGAGATCAAACACAACCCTGATGCAGCCCTTAATGAAATAAGAGTTTGACACCACTGATCTAAGTAAACAGTATCCACAGCCACAGTAGATGTATGTCTGGATTAACACACACATACACATACCGCTCTTTCAAATTGTTCAGAAAAAATATAGCACAGCAATTCTAGCAGAAAAATACCTTCATCCTTTACTGGTTTTCCCCATTCATGGGTCATTGACACAGCACATGGATCATTCTTTTCAACAGCACGTACATTCTTATTTTTCTCATCTTTCAAAGGTTTTTCATCTTCCAGAGATGATAAATCCCAGTCATCCTCCTCTCCAATACCTGTAAACTATATAAAAAAAAAAAAGAAGAGCAATTTCTTCAACTTACAAAATGTTTAGCAATATTTCACTGAGCGATGATTCTCAATCAATCTGAACACAGTAATACAGTAAGATGAAAGAGATACACAAGACTATTGAAAGAAATTTGGAATTCTCAAGAGTAATACAGAAAAACAATGGTTTTATTTTCCTGCTCTATAAAAACAAATCGATACAGTATAGAAATGTGTATTTTTTTGATTCATTACTAAACATTGTTATCAACATCGGTAGAAAAAAATTGTGTTATTCTAAAAAAACAGTAACCTCTACTGAAAGAGGGCAGAATGAGTAAGATGAAAGCAAAAAACAGAATATTGTCTATAAGATTTTACAGTTGTAATTTTTTTTAAAAAATGCAGCAATGTTAAATGTTTCTACTTGTACCTCATTCATTTACACTGGAAAGAGTTAAACATGTGTTTTATTCTTCATTGAAAATGTTTCATTAAAGCTGCATTAAGAATTCCATTGGATACAAAGGAATACAAGCTGTATGTAGGATTCTACTGCTCTGAACTTAATTCTGGCAGTTGTTTGCTAGGAAAAATATTGGTAATAATAAGACCAAGTGACAGTGGAACCAATAACCATAGAAGCTGTTAAGATTCCTGGCACTTGGTGTGTATGAGGAAACGTTAGGGAGTTCTACTTGAAGGATTCTGGATCTGATGGATTGAGTTGCTCTTTGCAATCGCACAGTTCTATGATTACCCCAAGTGACATCGGAATCAAAATGACAATATGTACAATAGGATCAGAAATCATTTTAACAGGACAGCCTAGAATCTTATGTGGGAAATACCTTTACTCCTTGGGCACATGTATGAATAGATGATGAACCACCATTCATTCCTCCAATTTCTTTGCTTTCTTTTCTTTGGCTCAAAAGAAACTTTTCCATTTCATCCATCTCATTTTGAAGTAAAGAGCCTAAAACCCATCAAGATAGAAGACAGTTAACTTTATAAAACAAATATTTGAAGACACAGTGGCAGTGCCTGCTATGCTGTCAACATTTCTTTAACAAGACTTACTCCAGAGACTACACTGTACAGTTCTTATATCCACACACATCTTTCCTCCAGGAATTCAAGGGGGACATACATGGAATAACCTCCATTTTTTCTCTACCACAATAACACTATAACATACATTGGTCTAAAAAATTGACGCCAAGTCACCCGGTAAGTTTCCAAGGCTGAAATCTGGGCTCTCTTTCGAAACAAGCAGACTTTTGACTATCCTGGCTTCGGTTGTGAAATTGCACACCATCTTGCTGATAAGGTGGTTTTCTACTTTTGCCCCTAAGCCCAAATTCTGCCCCCTTTCATTCTCCACCTTAAACACAGCTGGCTGCCATCCCAGCAAACTTGTCACCTTGCTGTACCATCTCAGGTTTTAAATTAAGGAAATGTTCAGAAGCGAATACATTGTTTAGTTATTGTATATTTTTATTTCATAAAAATACACAATAAGTATATTTTTTATGAAATAGACATGGTGAAGATTTATTTCTTTTGGGCATATGAGATGCAACCCAAGTAAAATTAACCTTGCATTAGCTAGTTGGCAAAAGGTTAACAGGGAAGAAAACAATTTGATCCAAGGCAGAAGATTCATTTCTGGAGCCTATCAGCCGTTTGGGAGTGGAACTACATTCTAGACATCAAGTCACACAGCAGAACCAGGACGGTATCACTATCAATAATTCTGTACTCTCCTGACATTGGACGGGAAATTACAGCAAAGTAGAAGAAAAGAACACATGCAGATATTAGCCAATTTTGTAGGCACCGCTGCATTATCACCCAAACTCTGACCTGGAAAATGAAAGTAAATTCAAATCCTGAGATTAGACTTTATAAAATGTTGATGAGCTCCCACCCAAGATCACCTTCAATAATGATGAAATCTTAAAATAGCTGTCAAGCTCTCAAGACTTCAGTCATAATCAAAGAAAGAAGCAACCTGGAATTAAAGAGAAACTTCCCAATGGTGAGGACAATTAACCAGTGGAACAGCTTGCCTCATGGGTGCTCCCTCACTGGGTGTTTTCAAGAAGAGACTAGACAGTCACTTATCTGAAATAGTACAGATTCTCCTGTTCGAGCAGGGGGCTGGACTAGAAGACCCCCAAGGTCTCTTCCAGCTCATTCATTCTATTCTGTTCTATTTTCTAAAAGTCATAATTTGGTGGTTTACAAGGATCTTTTAGGTTAGGTATCGTTTTCCAATTCTCTGACATGATCCATCTGCTTCAGCTTGCCAACCTTTTTAAGGCAGTTTCTCCTCCCCTACACGTGCCAAGGATTTTTAGCTTTCCCCCCCCAAGTACTGCCCACATAATTAGCTTTTGTACTTCTGCTTCTGGATGGCTTAAGATCTACTTCGTCTTCAGGGATGTTTACATCACTCCGATATGCAAATCTTGTCAAATTGTCTTTGTTGTGGCTCTTGGATGCCTTATGCAGAGATAATTCGGGTGAGATGTAGGAGTGCCTGATGTCATTATCCTCCACTTCCTCTTCTGAGCTAAATGGAGGAGTTCTGAGAAAACAAAAAATCATCTATGAATTTAAGCTGTTCCAGTTACAGCAATTTTAAAAATATAAACTTTCTATAATAAAACTAGAATCGATAATCTAGCAAACATTATACTTAAGACAGTTCCTTAGCAACACTCTTACCAAAGCAAGGATAATTGGGAGATGTACCCATTTTTGTTGGAAGATTATTTTGGCATCAATAGGCAGATATATAATTATTATATCATAAGAGCAATGAAGCACTGACTTTTAATCTAGAACAGGGGTATCAAACTTGCGTCACCATGACAGTGTCACATGACATGTCAGGACTTTCCCCCCCTTTGCTAACGGGGGGGGGGGCGCGGAGCCAGCACGTGACGCATCCAGCTCGTTGGCCACGAGTTTGACACCCCTGATCTAGAATAACACCATTTTATAAAAATATGAATTAGCTAAACTATTTTTTTTTACTATTTAGGCAGAATTCTATTTTAGCCTTTTCCAACGTATTGCCCTCCAAAGGTGCTGGATTAACTCCTTTCATGATTTTTAGTGAAAGAACCTATATTCCAGCTTTTTTCAAAGGCACAAGGTTGGGAAACGCTGAGCTACATATAGATTTCAGCCAATCAATTCACTTGATTCCACTCAAGTTAAAAGGTGGATTATCTAAAGTAGTTGAATCATAACTATTGGTTGTCCCTGTTACGTATAATATTCAATGTAATTTATGAATCCAGAAGAATGTAAATAGCATTTGAGGAGGCTAAGAAATCTGAAGAGGATTAACAGATTTCAGATCAGAGGCAGAATGTCCTGGCCAACCTTCTGCTCCCCTCTCTCCTTTTGCTCTGTCTTTGTTTTCAGTCAGCCTACACTACACTTCTTTAGGAAAAGTGGTACAGGTAGACCTCGACTTACGACGATAATTGAGCCCAAAATTTCTGTTGCTAAGCGAGACATTTGTTAAGTGAGCTTTGCCCAATTTTATGACCTTCCTTGCCACTTTTGTTAAGCGAATCACTGCAGTTGATAAGTTAGTAACACGGCTGTTAAGTGAATCTGGCTTCCCCATTGACTTTGCTCGTCAGAAGGTTGCAAAAGGGGATTACATGACCTTAGGACACAGCAACGGTCATAAATATGAACCAGTTGGCAAGCATCTGAATTTTGATCACGTGATCATGGGGATGCTGCAAAGGTCGTAACTATGAAAAACGGCCCTGAGTTCCTTTTGTCAGTGCTGTTGTAACTTTGAATGGTCACTAAATGAACTGTTGTAAGTCGAGGATTACCTGTATATCCAATTTGTTCCAAAATTAATTTCTGGTTTTGTAACAGAATTCTTATTTCAAAGCATACAAAACAAAATGAAGGCAGCTTACACAGTACTAGGTGGCTTTCTAGAAATCTCATCCTTCAACATATTCTTCTTGGTTCTGGAAGGAAGAGAAAAACAAATATTTGCAGTTTCTTTTGGCTAGTAAGATGGATATTTCATACACTGCAGTTTGTTTTCCTGCACTTCCTCACTGGAGCCATTGGCTTATAATTTGGTTTATATGAAGGTGAAGCTGATTATTCCCCTTGCTCTTCTTACAAATATAAATGTCTGTTTCGATGAGGTTAGAGAAATAATATAATAATTTAGTAATCCCCACCATTACTTCCTGATCATCAATGGGCCACTCAAGAGTCACCTGAACCATGAGATGAGAACCAAATATATTTGATAAATAAATAAATCACCAAGAAGACAACACTATCAGCTACTCATAAAACGTACAACAGTTATAACTTACCTGAAATTTTTAACTTACTTTGGGGTTGAAGTGTTTTCAGCAGGCAATGTTCTTTGCACGAGTGAATGTTTGGTAATGGAAGAACGTTTTACTGGCTTGGGAAAAACGGTGGGTAATGAAGTTCCTAAACGAGTTGTCCTGTATTTAGCTGTAATGAAATGATAATGAAGATCCGGTGTCATTTAAACCAGATGCCCCTGTCTGTGAAGGAATACTTAGTGAAATCATGCCGCATAAAGGAACAAAAAAAACAGTATTTCCTATTTGACATTTAACATTTCCTATTTGACATTTAACATTTTGCTTACAAATATTTCACTACCTTATTCCAACAAGTCACTAGATCACCAAATCACAGGCTCTCTTTAGAATCCCACATTCCCACTTTGTGGGACCATTTCCTGTCACCATCTCCTTCCTCATGTTTCTCAACCTGAGCAACTTTAAGATACGTGGACTTTAACTCTCAGAATTCTGAGAGTTGGAAGTCCACACATCTTCAAGTTGCCAAGGTTGAGAAATACTGATCTGGATGGTAAGATAGGAATAATATTTAGAATATTCTTGTTTTTATTTTGCTTTCTATACCTACTGTGACTTTGCTAAAAATAAAGTTGTAAGTGTATACTTTTACTCTTTACTGCTATATTTAATTAACGAAGCATATAAAAATTCATGTTGATAATTTTTCATTGTCTATTTATGTCAAGCTAGAACCAATTAGCCTATTTTCCACATAACTTGAAAATGTTTAAATTTGAATGAATTATTTCATGGGATTTATGGTTAATTAAGACCTGCTTGTAGTCAGTAAATCTAAGTATTACAGTCATGTTATACATACAAAGTGGCAAACCTTTATTTTAAGGAGGGGTGGGATTCTACCGGTTCAGACCAGTTCAGGCGAACCGGTAGCTCCAACGATCAGTGGGAGCGAACCGGTTCACTCATGATCAGGTGGGGCCGCCCGCCCCCCCCCCCGCTTTACTGACCTATATCTTCTCAGCTGATTCGCACGGCAGAGCAGATTGCCGCACCTCAGCTGTGTTACTCCCCAGCAGTAACGCAGAAGGTAAGCTTTCGTAAACCTACACATTCACGTGATCACTGAACCAGTTGTTAAATCAGCAGGATCCCACCACTAATTTTAAGGAATCATTTACAGACAGCAATGCTAAACTTTAAAACTGACCCCAGAGCATAAACAAAGATCATACCTTCTGAAGAAAGAAGAGGGTTGGAAAGAAATCTGCTGCAAGATGATCTTTCAGCAACTCTGAAACTGACTTGTCGTTCAAGTTGCTCCCGAATGTGTTGAATGTCAGGCAGTTGTTTTTTTCTCTCTTCTCTAGCAGTCTCAACAGATATTAAGACTCTGTTCAGATGATCACTTGGGATGCCACGCACTCCCTTGAATAGGATGAATTAACAAAAATTAAAAATAATTTTATTTTTTTGAGAAGAATATAAATTATTCTTGGGAAATGATGGAACAATGCAAAGACAACAAGCGGGAGGGAGGGAGGGAGAAGCTTCCAATTTTTTCTGCATTAAATGTGAGTACATTTATATTAAGTCTTATTTCATGATTACAAAAAAGAGTTCACTTTTTTCTATTTTCCAGTTTTTCTAACAATCAAAGTCACAAATCATGAGTGCATATTTTTCTGTTTCATGCAAAAAAATCTATTAGAGAAAAAACAATATATTTAAGGTTGACTGGAAATAATAAATTTTTTCCTCTTTTCATTAGAATCAATTTAATCTGCTAGTTCCATCATCTTCACCAGACATTCCTGCATTGTGGGTAGTATTGAGCCTTTCCCCTTTTGAACATATAATAGTTTTGTTACAGATGTACATCACTACTTTACAGACATTGACTTCTGTGCTAAGATTTTGTCTTTCGCCTTTTTCCAATTCAGCGGCAATATTTTGTGTGACTCAGAATGTCAGGCAGGCACACCTGAAGAGTGCTGGTTTGAAAAAGACATTAACATTACTTCACTCATTTGAACTATTTAAAGTGATCTTACTGATTTAATTCCCAAGGATTCCAACTTTTCTGCTAGGGTCTGCTCCAAAACAGTTCTCAGCTCTTTTGTTAAAGAAGGATCGCTCTTCAAGATATTTATGTGAGATTTATTCTTTCCTGTTTGGGGTACTTGCTTTTCTATTTCTGAAACAAGCCAGATATTTTTCTTTAAAAATCACATCATAAAATCAATGCACGCTTCATCAAAATATTTGAAGTGTGTTATGCACTCACCTGAATTTTCTGCCTAAGAAATTCTTATGTTTCTATATCAAAAAGCAAAACAATACCTTAATTTTAAATATAACTGGGACAGCTGTAGAAGTCTGAAATTCAACTCTTTCTTTGGTCACAACTGCATCTGACAAATCATGTTATGCATTAGGTATCTGTTTAATTATAGATACAGTAAATCCATTAAAAAGTATGTATTATTTATTTTAGTGGACCTCTTAAAAATTTTCAATCCAAACCAATGTAGGTAAACATAATGTGAGCATAGAATCCTAATAATACTACAGTGTTTCCCCGAAAAGCCCCAACTGGAAAATAAGCCCTAACATGATTTTTTTCAGGATGCTCATAATATAAGTCCTACCAGAAAATAAGCCCTAATTCGTCTTTTGGAGCAAAAATTAATATAAGATCCGGTTTTATTTTCGGGGAAACACAGGTAGTTCACTGAATGTAGTTTATCATCCACATTGTTACTTGTTGGGTTGTTAGCAATTTCATCTATGATGTTTTTATGCAGGATAAATCTGTAGCTACTCTCAAAACTACTCTTGATATAGAAACTTTAATAAACTTTAATAAATAAATAAATAACCTTAACCACTGACTTTTGTCCAAAATGGTATAAGGTCTCTTGCTCAAATAGGGTTGGACTAGAAGACTTCTAGAAGACTAGAAGACTTCCAAGGTCCCTTCCAATCCTATGATTCTATGACTTCTTGAAGGCAACTGTAAATCTAGATCTGTATGAATAAGACAGGAGGTACAGTGATGGGTTGCCCCTATTTTGGACTGGTTCGCAAGAACCAGTAGTAAAACTGGCGGGAAGCTCTGCCCACTGACCCGGACGTCATCAGAAGTGATCTGCGCATGTGCAGAAGTTTCTGCGCATGCGCAGAGGAGCGCATACAGGCACAATGTGAACCAATAGTAAAGGTAAGTAGAACCCACCCCTGAGGTGGTATGTTCAAACAATGGGCTGAAAGCCACACAAACCAAGAATTGTATTAAATGAGCTACAAGGAATTCCAACAATACCCCAAAATAAAAACAAATTCAAAAGCAAGGAAACTGGTTGGCCTTCTTTCCCTGACTCAACTGTTTGTAGATATAAGAAAGTTCATGTGGAGGCTGGACATAAGAGATGAATAAAACAGAATCCTAGAGAGAATAGTGGTGGACACTGAATTGTCAAAAAGGGAAGCCAAGAAAGAGGAGAAGCTACTTTTCAAAGGAAACACAAAAACACTGAGGCTATCTGAAAATGTTGAGGTGAGACTTTCTGTGTCTTCTGGTAGAAAAAATGTGACACTGCTCTCTTGTCTCTCGCTCTCTCTCACGGACACATAATGCAAGAAGAATTTAGGCCACAAAAACTTCAATTGGTCCTGTTGTTTACCTTTTTCATTCTCTGGAAGCTCCTCTATGGGCTCCAGCATGGGTACCAAAGGGGCCTGTTCTAATAACGAGGAAACACATGAATAGCAACAGAGACAGAAAGACAGACAGTATAAAAACAGGTAAGGATAAAGCCCAGAGAATGAAAACAGTTCAAAAAGGTACGGAAAAGTACCAGATGCATATTTATTTGGTGATTAAAGCCCTATCAAATGCAATTATTCATTATCAACTTAATACAATTTGTTACTTCCTCCAGCTACATGCATCTGGCAAAATATTTATTATCATGCACAACTTGTTTTCAACCTTTAATCACATACTGTAGGTTAAATGGATGATTTTGGGGTTTAAACTAAAAAAAAAAAGCCACAAAGAAATTTGCTCTAATTTTTTCCTCCTAAAATCATATAATCCAAGAGACGTTAAGACTTTGTCCCTACACCATGTACAGATATTGGGGGCAGTGGAGAGACACATTATTTCAGTTAGGCTGCAGGAGCAGTCGATTCAATCTCTACTCTTGTATTAAGGATGCATTAATCAATTCCGGAATTACATCTCCCAATAGATGGCAAGCTGTAACAGCAATGTTATTCTGTAATGCAATTCTCACAGTACAGTCCATTGAAGCTTTTTGAAATTGGATGGTTACTTTATCTTGGGCCTTAGGATTTTCTCATTATGTGTAAATGAGAAAACTGAGTAAAAACTCTTTGGCTATCTGTGCTCATATCACAACACTGACCTATCAAAGGAAGTATCGTTTTACTAGTAACAGTTCAAAGCAAAATGAGACATTTTATGCTCAAAAATACATACTGAGAAAAACTCTAAGGCCCAAGCTAATGTAACCACCCAATTTAGAAAAGCTTCAATGGACTGTACTGTGAGAATTACATCACAGAATAACATTGTTATCATGGGCATTTAGCATTGATCTTTACACTGGCTCATGTTTACATTTAGCTAAATTTAAGATAACCATTGAACACTTAAGATTCTCCTCTTCAGTTTTCCAGCTTAAATATAAATCAAGAATCCAAGTGGACACTTCCTTGCAGGTAAGAATAGTTAAGCCAAATTGTGTAATCTACCTAAACTGTTTCCCTGCTCTACGGTACAACCAAAGTTCCAGTGATTATGGCAGCTATGCTCACCAAAAAAACCATTCAAATCTCTACTTGGAATAGCTCAGCTTTTGCGTCTACCCATCTTAATATTCCAGCTTTTCTGGGGAAGAGATACAGTCATTATAAATCTAATCTTTGCCAAAAGTGAACTGATTGTAATAAAATGTCAACAAGAAATTCTACGCTCTCAGTTTGCCATTCTCCTTCAAGGTTGCATACAGGAAGTATTCAGTATGGCTACAGGTATATGAAGATCACTTATATGCTGGGCCAGCTCCATGTCCAAGAACGTATTTTTTACAGTTCAGGCAATCATGTTAAATTGTCTTTCCCCAAAACAATCATTCCTCTAACAATATCATTCTATTGGAGAGTAAAAATGCAAAGATACTAGACTTACATATAAAGTGCGGGGAAATTGGGAATAATAACGCATTGGCACAACACAAACCTGGTAACTTATTAATTATACCTGGTGTCAAAGTCACAAGCAGGGGACGATAGTTGCCACTAGCAAATTAAGTTTCTTCATTTGTCACTTAGTTTGTCATGGATACCTATGTTCATATAGATCTGGCTTTAAAGCAATAACTATAAAAGGCAGGAGGAATGTGAAGGTGCAGGAAGAGAGGCATAAAGAAGTAAAAAGGCTTTCTGCTACTTAAATAGGCAATCACCAATAAAATAACCCGGATCAAAACCCAAATATGTCCAACTGAATAAGAAATGCTAAATGCTGAGAGCTTCAAATACTGATATCATTTAAACATTTTTGTATGTTAAGAAATAGCACAGGTTAAATTGTTACTCAAAGGTAGCGTCAATAAACAGAATCTGCTACTACAAGTAATATCTATATTTATTTGGGGGGGGAAAACCACTGATACCTGTACAAATTGAACAGCTACTCACAATGACAAATAAAGATTCCCCACATCTTAAAATTTCCAATCCAAACAATCCAATTATTTGAATTGGCAGCTATCATATGATAGAATGCCTGAAGAAGATTATACTTCTATGATCATGAACTTTCGTATGAGATGCTTGAGAGATCCCATCTTACAATGCTGTGATTTATATTGACACATTGGGCATTTTGTCTCTGGATCGACATAAATTGTCTAAAATTGGAATTGTCCATATGGCAATTCCATAAATTGGAATTGTCTCTGGTTCCACATAAAAATGGCTCTGACAAATTATCATAGAAAGACAAAAATACAAGCAACTCATCCACAAGGTACCAAGTAGAAATGCACTTTGTACCCTGAATATACAGTAAAGCCAGTTCATTGAACCAACGTATTTTCTACTCTAGCAAAAACCCTTTTTTTAGCAAATAAACAATTGAGGCAAAAAGATACATAGCTTGCTTTGTTCTTGAATATACCTCAGAAGTGGAGCTGGGCCTTAAAAATACAAAGAGGTCTGTTTATTCCCAGATCTCTTCTGAATATAGTCTCTCTTTCTCTTACAAGTAAACCCACTCATTTCACTCCCTCCCCACCCTCTTCATTTTCTCTTTGAGAATCATCCCTTTCCACACACACTTGTTTCTCCTTGAAGTGCTCCTGGCCAACCAGAAAAGCAATTAAATGTTACAAATTAAATAAATCTCCAGATCCACCCAGAGCCTTTCGCAAAATGTAGGTAATGGTTCTGCAGGCATAGTAGCCCCTGGGAGCACTACGTTGCTCTCGCTCTCGCTAGTCTAGCCTATCCATTTTCTCTCGTCTCTTGCATATTTAGAAACCACTTGAGATAAAACACATTTCAATTAGATGGGTTTTTTTAAAAGGTCCTATTATTGCAAACTTTATTCAAGGTGCTTACCCCAGATTAATATAAACTAACCTTGGACAGCAGATTCTGGACGTTCTTTTGATAATAGCCTTACAGCTGGGAGAACAGATTGATTTTCTGCTTCAATTCCAAAATCTATTGAGCCAACCACAAATTAATTTGATTACAAGTTTTATGCTCTTAGTTAAAAATCCTTCAATTTTGATTTTAAATAGAAATAATTATTGTACAGAAAGAAAATGTCAGCAAGTTACATTTACGTCAATGAATATAATGACTGAACTTTCCAATATATTTCAGGAGAGCTTAATAAAAAAAGATTGTTCCATTAATTAAATTTAGTTGTTACTTATTATTATCCCACAGGACAATACCTAAGGATTTGCATGTCTATTACAGAAACCTACCATGCATGGATGACGGGCTTGATTTGGGTTGAACATTTTGTGCTGAAGTTTTCACTAGAACAAAAATATGAGAGGATGCAAGTGTCAACTTTCCCCTTAAAATAAACTGCACATATTTCTAAACAAGGGTGTGTGTTTTTTCTTGCAAAAGCAGTTTTGTAATAAAGTAAAAAAAGTATTTGTGGCACATTTTAAACTCTTTCTTCCTTAAAATCCTCACTCACCTTCAGATAACTTCGAGTTTTCTACTGGTTTTTTTGAAGCCAGTTTTTCTATCTGAAATTACAGGGATAGAAAACAATGGATATCGATGCAGAAATGAGAATTTGCTTATACAATGCTAGTTGGGCATCCGCCATTTTGACAAAGTAAGGCTTCCAGGTAGGTGATAGGGCTTCATGAACAGATGGGAAGCCAAACGATGCTTTTACAATACCTCCCCCCCTGAACAAAGTCTCTCCTCCACATGAACTGCTCTTAATTAAGACCTAAAGACAAGCACATACAGTAGGTGGAAAGAAAGAGGAGACTATTCCTTGCTATAATGAGCTCAATGTTGGCTCAATAGAATATCTTATGCCACCAGGCTTGAAATTTTGGGCTTGGACAACTTGGAACTATACCACCTACGGTCTGACCCAAGTATAGTACACAAAATTGTCTGCTACAACGTACTACCTGTCAATGACTACTTCAGCTTTAGCCACAATAATACACGGGCAAACAATAGATACAAACTCAAGGTCTAAACTCGATTGCAGAAAATACGACTTCAGCAAGAGTGGTCAATGCCTGGAATGCTCTATCCAACTGTTGTTACATCCTCAAACTCCTATAGCTTCAACCTTAAACTGTCTATTGTGGATCTCACCCCATTCCTAAGAGGTCCGTAAGGGGGCGTGCATAAGCGCACCAGCGTGCCTACCGTCCCTATCCTAGTGTCACCATTTATTTGTACTCATTACCTGTGCTCATGTCCATGTTTATACTTATACCTGTTATCTCATACATGTTTGAGTACTATATAAATATATATATAGTACTTCAAGTCTGGCCCTGTGGCAAAAAGGATATTTTGTCATGGTCAACTGCAATTATAAGCAAGTCTCCTTCATAAACTAGCTCTGGTGACTTCATGGCCATGAGAGTGGCTGATAGTGGTCCATCAAAATTCTGGCTTCTGAGTCCAGCTCCCTAAGCCCTAAGTTTGTATTGCTCTTTTATGCACATTTCCTTCCATTTTTCTAATTCTTTGAAATGCAATGCCCAGATGCAGCCTAAACCTGTAATTCACCTTTCAGCAGCCATGCTCTATTGCTAACTTGCAGCCTACTAAAGGAACAAGAAACATTGTAAGAACACAAAATGAGAAGTGCTTATAAGGATAGAAAATATTTACTTGTGTAATTATTGGAATTCCATCCATATTTTTTTTCATATAAAAAAGGGCCCTTTGCTCATGCTCTGGCATTTTAGAAGGGCACCATTACATGGAACAGACCTGATGTTTCTGGATAATAATAAGATCATTTTGTTCTTGCAGCTTCTGTCCTACTTCTTCTAGCCTCTTCTCATAGAAAATGTTGCTCATATTCAGTTCCTCAGCCACTGATGCTTTAAGCTTCTCAATTTGAGTTGTGAGCTGAACAGGTCAAATATGGAAAAAGTCTATTTAACTAGAAACATTCTGTTTATCTTATGCTATATTATGTATCTTATTATATATTTATATATTTATAATATAAAATTACTAGTCTAATTTTCCTCCTCCCAATGTTTTTTGGTCATAAAGATTAAAGGGCAGACTCTCTTCCCCTTCATAGAAATGTATGCACTATGGAAAGTTAATTAAGACATTTCCCTTATTTTCTTAAGGAGTTAGAAAATCCATTAATTTATTATACTTTTGTGCTCTTTGGTATGGTTAGGCAACTTAGGGCCCTCTAGATAGTAACTAGAGTGTATCAGGGTGCCTATCCTACTTAACAGGTTTGTGATGACGCACAGATTTGTGTAGCTGTCACAATCAAACAAAACTAGACAACTGCATTATGGGCATAACAGACTATAGTTTGCAGTGGTACTCTTTCAGAGAAAAAGATAGGTATCCTGATACAAAGTGACTCTTTTAACCACATCATTCCACATTTCTCCATTTTGTAAAACTCCTTTCCTGAGTCTTCCTATTCCACTGGAAGCTAGAAAAAATATGTAATGTAAGTATAAATTGTCAAAATTCCTAAGTTTACCTTGTTTGTGATTATCTTATAAACCATGAATATATCTAACTATCTTATAAACTATGAAAACACACATGCACACACACACTTTTACCCTATACTTTCTCTACTTCTTTTAACTCTTGTCATATATAAAGCACTTCTGTCAGGGAAGTTGTTTCTCCATTGGAATTCTTGGCTTTACCAGTTCAAATGTTCAGAGAGAAATCTGAATGTAACTGAAGAAGTTCAAAGTAATTCTTGTCATAGCATACTTCTTGCATGCTGTAGCTTATTTTTTAACAAAAGAACTGAATGTGAACACTTCATGCAGTTATTCAGCATGGGAATCAGTGAAATTTTACATAAACTAAAGTGGATTTTAAACAGTCATTCTGAATGGTTTACCACGTTTTCTTTTCTTTTTTTTTATATTATTTTTTTCTATGTAGGAAACTTTCATTCAGATTTACCTGGTACTTTTCATTTTCATGTTCTTCTTGAAGAGCTTGTACCTTAGAAGACCACTTAGCTTCCTACATAAAACAAAAATGATACTTTGAACAATAGCTTAACTTTATATTGCTTAATTTTGTTTTATTGAAATCCAAGTTATCAACTTGTATCTAACACACAATCTAAATAAAACCCCAATATGAACTGCTGCACCAGAAAAGCAGACATGGAGATTAAAAGCTGGTGGTACTGGCATAATATCATTATTTGTTACACTACATTACCATTAGAAGGAGAACATGTTGTGGCAGTTATTAAGTAAATCCACATTGTTTATACTAAGAAAGTAAATTTAAACGGGTTATCTGAGACTAGAATCACACTGTGAAATTACTTTTGCTTTCTGTGCCCAAGTTGGTTGCCTAGATCACTTCATGTTCATATTGGAGCTACTGAACCAGCTTAGTTTGAGACCACAATAGACATTATGAACTAATTTAGTTTGAAATTTTAATGTCTGGGATCTTACTAATCATGCACCTGGCTCTGAGGTTCTAGAATACTTATCAAAAATCAGATTCCAAGCATTTGTGGAAAACCCTTTTTGGGCGGAGAGAGGGGTGGAAGAGAAGGGTATTCCAGAGGTTATGACATTAAGGAGAGGGATTCTCCATTCAGATGAAAGAAGACAAATATTAAGTCCAACCCATGTATATATTATGCCACACTCTAGAACAGTGATGGCTAACCTTTTTGCCATCGCGTGCCAGGAGAGGGGGGGGCCGGGGAGGGTCACGCACACACGGGCCCACACTGATAATTCTATGCGCCCTGCCCTGCGTGTGCAACCCCCCCTCTCACCCCCCCCCTGCTCCTGGCACACGATGGCCTGGTAGGCCCTTTTTTCTTTCTTACCTGGTTCCAGATCCTCTCTATTTATCTGGGAAGGGCGAAAACAGCCTTTCTCAATCCCTCGGAGGCCCTCCAAAGGCCTGAAAAGGCCTATTTCTCAACTCCCGGTGGGACAGGAAGTGACGTTTTTTGCTGTCCCCAGCCTCTCTAGGAGTCTCTGGAGGCTGGGGACAGCAAAAAACGTCACTGCCTGTCCCATCGGGAGTTGAGAAATAGGCCTTTTCAGGCCTTTGGAGGGCCTCCGAGGCAGTGGGAAAGGTTGTTTTCGCCCTCCGCAGATGCATAGAGGGGATCTGGAGCCAGGTAAGAAAGAAAACGGGCCTTCCCCACCCCCCACCCCTTCAAGAGGCAGGAAACAACCCGTTTTCCTATTTCTGGTGGGCCCAGAAGGCCCGAAAATCAGCTGGCCGGTGCGCACATGCGTGCCAGAGCTCAACTGGCGTGCCCACTGATATGGCTACGCATGTCATAGGTTCGCCATCACGGCTCTAGAACAAGACAGAAAGCTGAAACTACTTTTTACCAATTAAAAGCACAACTGAGTCTGAATCTGGAAGAAAATACATTAAGATAATCTGAACATTCCTGAGAGATACAATTCTGCCTTCACTCGCCCAAGTCCCTAAATGAATTGTAATCTCAATCATCCCCAACCAATGTGCTCATTCTTGGCTTTATTGGGAATTGATTGGAAATGTGTTCAACTTACAGGGACATGAGGGAAGACCAAATGCACATAAATTCTGTCTCCCTGTTTAAACCAGATACCTGGGGCCTGGAGTCTGAAGTCACAGTGCCTGACATTTATATTAAATTACCTGTTTTTCAAGAAGCTGCATTACGTTCTGATGATCCGTAGCAATCCGATGTTTCTCATCTGTTAATTCAACGGTATCTTTTAAAGTGCCTAAATTGGATTTCAGATGTTGGTTGGACTTTTGTACCTCTAGCAAATGCTAATAGGGATACAACAGCAGCAATCAAAGTAAATTCAAAATTCTCTTTGGAAAAATAAATAAACTGGCATATTCTGCTAGAAAATACTTATAAAAGGCAAGGTATTTTTTTGCAATCTCCACCAATCCCCAAAATCTAGCCATTTTCTTGAACTCTAATTACTTACATATTAAACCACCACACAAATATAAAGTACAATTATTTGTTTTTAAATTCAAAGGAATAGGTGCTCAATCCACACTTTCAGAACCTTTTCAGGAAAGTAATGAATATGTGGCAGAGGTGGTATTCAGCAGGTTCTGACCAGTTCTGGAGAACCGGTAGTGGAAATTTTGAGTACTTTGGATAACTGGTAAATACCATCTTTGACTGACCCCACCCCCATCTATTCTCTGCCTCCCGAGTCCCAGCTGACCGGAAGGAAATGGGGATTTTGCAGTAACCTTCCCCTGCCACACCCACCAAGCCATGCCCACTAAGCCACACCCACAGAACCAGTAGTAAAAAATTTTGAATCCCACCACTGATATGTGGGGCAAAAGGGGAGAGAAGCGATAGCCTTCCCAATTGAAGGGGTTCTGATGGACAGTCTTAGCAGCTGCAGATGAAAATAATCCTTGGCTTGAACACATCAGGAATAGGGGTACAGTGGGAAAGGAAGGAATTTGTGGCTGAAAGACAACCTGTAAGCTCAGATTTTTATAAAGTTCTGTGCCTTTTCCAATATTTAAAATATAAATCATAATAAACTGCAACATTACTCTATAGAGTACACCATCCAATTTCTCAGCTACTTACATTTTCTAATTCTGAATTTTTTGCAGTTAATTCTTTAAATTCCTTCATAAACATCTCTTTCACCTTCTCAAGTTCACGGGCCAATTTTTCCTTTTCTTCCTCTTTCCATTTGTGAAATAAGTGCCGAATCTCCTCCTCTTTGGATCGGCGATCTTCATATTCCTGAAATTGAATGAAAAAGCTATTTTAAGAATTCCAGAAAGTCCTTTTCTACAATTCCTGCCTTTTGATCAGGATGCTTATTCCAAACCAACAAAACCTTATCATAAATTAATGTGATATGTGGATTGTAAAATATTCTGATCTAACTAGAGGATTGCTGATCAGTGAAGAAGTGAAAAAGGTTTGTAGGGAGAGATAATGGAATGTGTGATGTGTGAAAATGTATACTGTATATCCTTTTAACCTGGCTCATTGTTAGAACAGGTTTTTGATAAAATCTATGGACAGGATAGACAATTCTGTGAAGTTTCCCAAAGAACATAAAAAAGAGGTGCAGATTTTATATGCAACCACCAAGTCTAAAATAGTCAATCATCTTTTTCCATCTACATTTCACTCTGTAAAGTGCAAAAATACCAAACAAGGCTAGTCATTTTCTTCTTTGAATGTTGATATTGGTTTAGACTTATAATCTTAATTAGTAATGTATAATTGGATGGCATCTTAAAACTGAGCCTTACAGAATGTGCCCTACCTTAGACAGTTTGACTATATGGGCATGTTGTTCAGCTTCTAATTGAGACCTGGTAAGTTGCAACTGCTCCTTCAGTTGGTTGATCTCCTCCTGCAGTTTATAAGTCTGTGATTTTTTCTTCTGATCTGTTTCAAAGAATGTATAATGGTGATAGTGCCCGTTAATATACTTCAGAGAAATGCAGTTCTACTTACAGACATTTGAAGCATTATTTCTTCCTGTGGATTATAATACCAAGTACTTCCTCAGTATATCACCATCTAAAGGATGTAACAGGGACTCCTCCAAGTTACTTTAACAGTAAACATTCTATAAAAGCTACGGAATACTTTTATAATCATTCATTCAATGTACTTTGCAAATACTAGCCTGCAAGAAAATTCCTCATTATCAGAGTTTTCATTTCATTATCACTTTTTCTTCCAAATATAACACACTCCAGACATGTCCTAGATCAGAGTGGACACTTCTATATGTCCCTGTACTAGAGCTCACACCTTTTTTTCACATAGAACATGCTGTCTGGGATTGCCAATAGTAGTTGTTCGGGAACATCTAGGGCCACAGCTTTCCTATTCTTCTTTTTGGAATGAGCAACGGAAAGGAACAGGAGTAACTCCTTCCTCAGCACAGTTGAATTCCATCACAAATAACAATAAATAGAAGTATTATCCAATTTTAAAGCATAATCACCATAAGTTAACAAATAAAATAAATAACATTTGGCATATTCCTCTTCAACCATTTTGACCAAATTCTCTTCAACCACAATGCTGAATAATTTTTATGACAGACACTCTGTCAAACTGAACCCAGGACCAACACAGCCTTACTCTTCTGTTTTACTTCATGAAATCTTTTCCTTTTTCTTATACATATACAGCAGGGGTGAAATGTAAAATTTGTTACTACCGGTTCTGTGGGCGTGGCTTGGGGGGGTAATGTGACTGGGTGGGTGTGGCCAACTTTTTTTTTTTTTGTTTAACTTTTCAAAGCATTTTTTCTAATGCTTTGAAAAGCCTCTGCCAATCAGGCAACTCAGCTGGGATCGTCAGAGACTTTTCAAAGCATTTTTTTAAATCACCTCTTCGGCCATGAGGTTGCAGAAAAAAATGCTTTGAAAAGCCTGACGATCCCAGCTGAGCCGTGCGATCATCAGAGGCTTTTTTTTTTTACTTTTAAAAGCATTTTTTCATCGGAAGATGTTGTAGAAAAAAATGCTTTTAAAAGTAAAAAAAAAAAAAGCCTCTGATTGTGCGGCTCAGCTGGACATGGGGGGGGGGGGCGGTGCACGCCGGGATTTTTGCTACCAGTTCTCCGAACCACCCTCCGCCATTGCTACCAGATTGGACGATCCGGTCCGAACTGGGAGCATTTCACCCCTGATATACATGCATAAAATAAATGAATAACTAAACTCCGAGTGCCCTGATGACATCATAGTCTGTAAATAATCTGTGATATCCTCAATCAGTTTTCAATGCAAACACTTTGAACCATTCAGATCCCTCCTTCTGCCAAAAATTCAACCCTACAGAAAAAAGCAAATATGTGTAATGAATATTGTGAGGCAATGCTCTTCACATCAACTTTCACTCTTCTAGAAATGTTAAATTGCAGGTGTAGGCTGCAGAAATCCATAGGACCATTAGATAGCAGCAAAGACTTTTTTGCAAACTAAAACTATTAACCTAAGTTTCTCTTTATCCATATTATTGTGATATTAAATTTAAATTCGTGTAAGAAAAGTAACTATATCTGAGAAGGCAATTTAGCTCCTAAATATCATATACAATCATCTATTTTTGAGCTAGCTCCTTAATACAAATCCACTGCAATTTAACCAGTCATAAGCTGCAGTAATTGGAAGAAAACAATTTGTTGAAAAAGTAGAATTCAGATAGAATGTCTTTGATTTTCTTTTGCTTTATGCAAATACTTTTAAACTATGTCCAATCATGTCCCAGAAAATTATATCATTATATCACAGAAAAAAAGTTACTACCTGTTACATTGCAGGAAAGGAAATTATGTCCAATTATCCAGAAAACAAAAGCCTATCGCAAACAATAGATTTGCTTAATGACTATAGTGTTTGCTTAATGAAATTGGGTAAGTCATGTGATGACCTGCTTTACAACCATAATGACTTATGCCCTTAAGTGCCAGACTCTGTTCCGGTTGTTTGTTTGTTTGTTTGATTTATATGCCGCCCTTCTCAGGGCGGCTTACAATGCATTTATATATATATTTATATTTATTATATTTCTATACCGCCTTTCTCCCGTAGGACTCAAGGCGGTGTACAGTCAAGAAAAATATAGACACACAAACATCATAAAATTGCTAATTAAAATTATTACTTAGTTTGGTCAATTAAATAAAACCCAGAATTAGATAACATTTCAAAAATTCATTCACATGTTCATATGTTTAGCCCCGCCTGTTGGAACATCAGGGTCTTGAGGGCACGCGGAAAGCACGGAGATCAGGGATATTCCGTATCTCCGGGGGCAGTTCATTCCAAAGGGTTGGAGCCCTCACAGAGAAGGCCCTCCCCCTGGGAGTCGCCAGTCGGCATAATTTGACTGACGGTACCCTGAGTAGTCCCTCCCTGTGAGAACAAACTGGTCGGTGTAAGTTGTAAGTCGAGGATTAGCTGGTTGTAAGTCGAGGATTAGCTGTAGATCCTTTCCTCTGGTCATAAACAAAAAATTAAAACTCACTAAAAAATAAAACCTAAATTTAAAAAACACTAAAGTTAGATAATGTTTTATATATGCAAACTATACAAACTGCATTTGTACAATTCACATTAGCTTAATAAGGGCCCTAGTAGGTGCTCGCATATTGGCAAGAAGTAACAAAGGTGCTGGATTTCCTAATAATTAAACGGCTCTCTAAACGACGTCTCCTCCACGTTCTCTAAATAGCATCTACTGCATTTGTTTGCTTTTTTTCAAACAAGAAAAATTATGGATTGGATGTCAGTTTTGAAATCTATTTATTTATTAAACACTCACCAGTGACTGGTTCTTCTGAATGGCGACGCTGCAAATGACTATGCAGGAAGGAGGAGTTCATAAAGGCTTTGTCACAAAACTGACACTGTAAAATAAAAGTTTGGTTAAACAACATCTGTGAAACTAAGGATATTTATCTCTGTATGTTTATTTTTATCTCCGTATGATTTGATGTTTGTCATTATTTTGAATGACAGTTTTGTTCTAAAAACAAGTGCCATTTAAGTAATTTAATGGTAGTTTTATGGTGCAGAAAATTCAATCCCGAAACAAAAGGACTGAAAAAGACTTCTGATTAAAATGCATAAATATTACAAATGTTACAAGCATATGCTTTTAATATGCTTTTAAAAGTACAATGCATAAAAAGAAACTTAATTCTTCTAAATCACTACTGGTGACAGCTGGTGGAAATACCCAGTTGATGTGGGTTAGTCTTGAAAGAATCCTTGGACGGAAGGAAATTGAATAGTGACTAGACAATTCATGCTCCACTGATATCATCACATGAGCATGAGGATGCTGCAATAATCGTAAGTATGAAAAACAATCATAAATCACTTCTTTCAATGGCATTCTGAGATCAAACTAATGTTGTAAGTTGAGGAGTACCTATATATTATCATTATCATGTAGATTCAAACTAGCATAATTCACACTGTATTACACTTAATTAGATTATGGCAGATGAAACTGAGTACTGGATTCTTGGTTTCAATTCTGCTGCAATGTACAAAGACTATACAGTAGGGGCATTATAGCACAATCCAGAAATGTCTGAAATTCTGCCAGTGGACAAGGTAAGCAAAAGTCAACAATTCTGTGCAACTCTTTTAAAATTTTGAGCAGAAAGAAGTGACAGAAAGGATTATCCCACCAACGTAATTTAATGACTTTAGGAGAATCGCATTATTGAATGTATACAGGACAAGTGATTCACTTAACCACTGTGACAAGGTCATCAAATGAAGCAAAACTCAACAACTATTTCTCTACCTTCAAAAATAGTCCCCCAATACTTTGCTTTGCTTTATTTACAGTATTTGTTATTCCTAGGTATCAAAGCAAAAGCAAAAGCAAAAGACTAACTTGTAGTGTGGCTTCCTCACAGGCCAATATTCAGAACAGTATCTGATTTGATACCATCCATACTGAGTTCAAATCACCAAGTTCACAACCAAACCTACTCCCCCCCCCCAAAAAAGGGGGGGAAAGATGCTGTAATCCTGCATTTATACGGATACAACAAAATCAAACAGCCTTTGAGTCACCTCAACTTTTATGTGCCAGTTGTCTTGGCAAGCTGGCTGCCATGGGACATTTTTTTCAACCTCCCAGGGCTGCCCCCAAGAAGTAACCGAAGCCGGGGTCTGCTTAGCTTTCCAGCTCTGCCAGATTTGGCCATATCTCACCTCAGGCTCCTTGGTGTTCTCTGAGCTTGGTTGTTTTCTTGCAGACCTTTCATTACCCAAACTAGGTAACATCACTGCACTGATGATGTTAAACTTGTTTGGGTAATGAAAGGCCTGCAAGAAAACAACCAAGCTCAAAGAGCATCAAGGACCCTTCAGGCAGTGGTGAAATCCAATTTTTTTTACTACCGGTTCTGTGGGTGTGGCTTGGTGGGCGGGGCAGGGGAAGGATACTGCAAAATCCCCATTCCTCCCCACTCCTGGGGGATGATATTGCAAAATCTCCATTCCCAACCTGCTCCTGGGGGAAGGATACTGCAAAAGCTCCATTCTCACCCCACTCCAGGGGAAGGATACTGCAAAATCCCCATTCCTCCCCACTCCTGGGGGAATGATATTGCAAAATCTCCATTCCCAACCTGCTCCTGGGGGAAGGATACTGCAAAAGCTCCATTTCTCACCCCACTCCAGGGGAAGGATACTGCAAAATCCCCATTCCTCTCCACTCCTGGGGGAAGGATACTGCAAAATCTCCATTCCCACCCCACTCTGGAGCTAGCCAGATGTGGTATTTGCCAGTTCTCCGAACTGCTCAAAATTTCCGCTACTGGTTCTTCAGAACCTGTCAGAACCTGCTGGATTTCACCCCTGCCTTCAGGTCAACCCTGGGCTACCAATTTTCTCCTTTACAGGTAGTCCTCGAGTTACAACCATAATGGAGCCCAAAAATTTATGTTGCTGTGTTAATTTAAATATTACTTTATGTTAACATTTGTTAAGTGAGGTTTGCCCCATTTTACGAATTTCCTTGCCACCGTTGTTAAGTGAATCATTGCATTTAAGTTAGCATCATGTTTGTTAAAGTGAATCCAGATTGCCCATTGACTTTACTTGTCAGAAGGTCGTAAAAGCTGATCCCATGACCCGGCAACCGTCATAAATATGAAGCAGCTGCCAAGCATCTGAGTTTTCTGATCATGTGACCATGGGGATGCTGCTGCAATGAATCTTCAGAGAGGCGCGGCATATAAATTGAATTAATTAAATTGAATTAAATATAAGGCATAAGCAATTATCATTAAATATAAGTCAAATGTAGGTCATAAGTCACTTTTTTTTCAGCTCCACTGTAACTTCGAAGGGGTCACTAAATGAACTGTTGTAAGTCGAGGACTACCTGTATTAATATCCCACCTCCCCAAATCCATCAGTAGCTCTGCCATTAGGAACCCAGACAGCCAGCCGACCTGATGATAGGTGGCTCCCGCTTGGAGCATCATCTGCTGGGTGGCGATCATCTTCTTGCGGCGCTTGCACTCCTCCTTGAGCAGCCGGATCTGCTGGGCCCCGCGGGCCACATCCTTGGCCAGCAGGTCGCGGTGAGCATCGGCGGCCCGAAGCAATTCTTGCCCGGCGCGGAGTTGGGCGCTGAGGTAATCCTGGGAGTGGAGCAGGTACTCGAGGCAGAGCTGGGCCAGGCGCAGGAGTTTGAGCAGCAGAGGGTCGGCGGGGCCCTGGCAGTGAGGGCAACGCTCGCGGCCGGCGTTGCAGAAGGTGACGTGCTCCAGGTGCTCCTGCAGCACCGCCACGTTCACTTCGGCCGCCACGCGGTCCACTTCCACAGCGCTCAGGCGACGCCAATTCGGGCCTTCGTGCCGAGGGCGGAATTGGAAAGGAGGCAGGGCCGTCCCGGGCGGCGGAGAGGTCGTCGCCGTCGCCGCTGCCGCCGCCATTCGAGCCGGCGGGTCCGCCTGTTGGGACAGAAAGAAACGGGGGTCCCGCACCGCCACCTGCCGGGGGTGTCTTCGCCGGCCTGGCGGGCGCCGCATGTCTTCCCCGTTGCCGCGGCAACTGAGGCGGCGTTGCCGGAGTGTCACACGAGGAGGGGGTCCCGGCTAACCGCCCACGAACAGGCCTCTCCGACCTCGCGGCTAATGCATTTTTCCCGCCTTGGCATCCTTCCTTTCCTTTTTTTTTTTCCCCCCAACGGGCGGGTCCCGCGCTGCCTCCCACAGTTTTCCCCCTTCTCGATTTCAGGTGCTTGAAGGCGTTTATGAAGGCCACGCGCCTTCAAGCGCCCCGTGGGTGTGAGAAAAACGCTGCTTCAGAAACCGAGCTTCGCCTTCAACCTCCCCGCTGCCAAGCCGGGCTGAGGAAATCTGGAGGGCCGCTGGATGGCAACAGAACGAAGCAGGAAAACTCCCTGCTGCCTTTTTAGGCTGTTAGGGGCACCAGGTGGGCTTTGGCTGGCCTACCTGGCAGAGGGGGATAACCTCCCCCCCACACACACACACACCCAGATTTAATCGTTTTACAAACTCCCTGTCATAAAAAATAAATTTCCATTGCATAAGAGCAGGGTAAAGTTTATTCCCTGTCCCTGCAAAGTTTCCCAAACTAGGGGGAATCACTAGTCTCTAGGTTTGAATCACATGCAAGCAAAATCGCCAGTTTCAGCTTTGGCACATCCAAAAGTAAAGGTAAAAAAAAATGCATTAAAAACAATTAATTTTTGGGTGCCCACTGAGACTTTAGATCAAGAAAAAGATGGTGCAGAGAAATTGAATGCAAGCATCACAAACTCTTAATCCTAATTTTAGGGAGATTATCACCGGATTTGTTTTTGGAAGCATCACTTTTACTGTAAGCACCCATTTTGCACTTGCAACACAATAATCACTCCTAATTTCTGAAGCATATAATATAGCATCTGATATATAATAATCTAATAATACTTCAATGCAATGGCACTCAACAATGTTTAAGATGCAGACATATATACTGCTCAAAAAACAAAGGGAACACAAGCAGAAGACATCAGAGATCTGAATGAATGAAATAGCCTTATTAAATACTTTGTTCGTTACATACAGTAGTTTATACACTGCTCAAACAACTAAAGGGAACACAAAACTACTGTATGTAACGAACAAAGTATTTAATAAGGCTATTTCATTCATTCAGATCTCGGATGTCTTCTGCTTGTGTTCCCTTTATTTTTTTGAGCAGTATATTATGACTGGGGGAAAATCATTATCATTGATGTAAAAACAAGCTTCCTATGACTCCCTACTTGCCTTGCTTTGCATTTTCAACATTTTTTGTCCAAATTAACACAAGGAAAATGGTTGGTTAATTTGGATTTAACTTGTGGTTTGCTGATAAACCAGTTGCCTATTATTGTGAGGATTTCTGTATTATACGATATAAATTAAATCATCGTTCGGCAGCTCCCTCTGACTTCAATATGATTCTCTGTGATTACAGTCAGATACATTCAAATATGAAAGTTACATATTTACAGATACTCACACAATTCTATCTCTGATGAATAGAGATAGAGATTGCCACCTGCAATTACATAACGGTGCATGCCCCTAAAATGGAAGGGGGGGAACCACAATATTATTTTTTATCCAATAAAAGCTCACGTTAAAAAAGCCAAATGAATATTGATCCAATATGCAGCTCAGCCGCATGATTTATTACTGTAATCGGGGTGTAAAAAAAAAGGCACCGCAATTCGAAGCACTTCTTTCCCTAGAAGTTGGGAAAGCTCAGCAAGACAGCGAGGACATGCTCGAAATCAAGCTTTATCCCAAAAGCCAAGTCCAATTGCAAAGTAAGAGGGAAGCGAGAGCCGAGGCTCCCAGGCTTTTAGAGAAGAAGCAAACGGGTTTCCCGCCAGCCCCGCTTCCCTCCTGGGTTCACAGTCCCAAAGCCGGGGCTGCAGAGCCAGAACAGGCTCCCTCTGCTGGGTGAGATGCGAGAAGATCCCGTCGCGAAGAAAGGAGCTGTGCAGGGGATCGGCCGGCGGCAGAGCCGGGATAAATCAACAGCCCACGCGATTTGCTCAACCGCATTGAAAGGCTCTCCCTTCCCCGAATGCGGCGATCCACCCGATCGCTGCTCCCCTTTCGCTGGGATCTCGATTCGCTCGCCTCACCTGGATCAGCCGACGTTCCAGAGAAGCGGCTTCCTCGGCTCCCCAACCCCGCCTCCTGCTCTTGCGCATCCCGCAAGCGATCGCACGGCCCCCAGCCTTAAGATGCTTGGGCGCTCCGCGGTTTTCCGCCCGTCTTTCCCCCCGTTCCTCCCGCTCCTCCAATCCGATTATCCCAAGGCGGGGTGGAGCGAACGGAGGCAAGAACAGGCCTTGGTCTCGTGGCCGGGAGAAAGACCGGGATGCAGAAGAATAAAGCAGCTCCTTCTGTTCCTCCGGGAGTAAAATTCCAGAAGTGCGGCTGGGATTAATTTGGGATCCACCGATCATTGCCGAGGAAGCCAAGCGCGGCGGGGTGCATGCTACGGATTTGCAGAGTTGGCTTGATGCAGAAGCTGCTTCTGTGCAAACCCGTCCCAAATGCATCGATGGCTAAATGTGGTGTCGAGCCAAGCTGTTCGTAAAGACTCACCTTTCAGGGCAATCGTGCAGAAAAGGGCTGACTTTACCTTTTTCTACTTGATCGGTTGACCCACAGGCTGTAGGGGCCTCAGCCAAATATTGTCCAAGGTCAGACATTGGTCAGCTTCTGAGTTGGGACAGGCTGTCCATGGGATCCATGGGCAGGATCTTTTGGCACATCCAGTTGCTGGTTTTACCAAAAATGAAAAGAAAATCCGAAGCTGCAAGTTCAATGGGAACAAGGAACCTAGGAAGCATGAACATGGGAAAACTCAACAAGTGAATGTTGAAATGAATCAACCACACCTTGATTTCTTAGACATCAGTGAACTGAGATAGATCGGAAGTGGATACTTTCAGAAAGAAGTTACTTGGACACAAAACGCAAAGCCTTTCATAGCCAGAAAATGTATTGCAAGAACAGATGTTGAGTACAGTGTAGCTGAATACAAGTTGGACTTTAAAATACATAATCAGTTGTCATAACCTTTTAGCTCAGCACCTCGGATTATGCCAAATTTTCTGATCTAGAGGAGGATAGTGATGGCTTCTCCCCTTATCACCATTTTCTTGGGTTGCCACATATTCCTCTCCAACACCTCTTTGCAAACCTGTTGCCTTCATGTGCTGCCTTGGAGGATGATAACCCATTGCCTTTATTAAATATAATTAGACAAATATAATTAAACAATTTCAGAAATATTTCCTTACCTAACACTCATAAACCCCTGTACAATTTCCACAACACTTGCTGCACCTCCCTGTACCATTGTGCCCCTCTGCACAATCTCCCCAGCCCCATATGGCAGGGGTGGGCAAATGTGGCCCTTTTACAACCTGTGGACTTCAACTCCCAGAATTCCTGAGACAGCTTTCTGGGAGTTGAAGTCCACAGGTTGTAAAAGGGCCACATTTGCCCACCCCTGCCATATGGCACTGTTCTGACCCAGCCTTAGCAGAAACAAGAAACAGACTCTTTGTCACCAAAAATTCTTTATTTACCTCTTGTGATTGCATTCACCCACCAAAAAATCCAGGCAATAGTCCTTCAAGGAGTTAATTGCAGTAACAGACCTTATCAGTTCCTTGCTATAATTTCAAGCCCCAAGGCCATGAGCTCCCAAGGCCTTGAGCTCCCAGCCAAAAGGCTGCAAATTAAGTTCTGGCAAGGAGTCTTTGATGCATGAAACACAATGAGCAAAATCTTCAGAAATACAAACTCTTGTTTCCTACGACAACCACTCCCCTTTCCTTCTATTTATTCCCCAGCCAGGGAGGGGCTATTCAGCAGCCACGTGTGCTTTGCTTCCCAAGTTGACTCCTTGTCCTCCGTTGTTCACCTCCTAACTGCTCTGAGCATACATGCATCTGGAACAGGCCCCAGCTGTTCTTCCTTCTCACTCATATCAGTCTCCAAAGGCAGCTGCTTCTCTGGTGGCTGGGAAATGTCATACGGCCCTGGCTCTATGTGTCCGACGCAGAGCATCCATCAGAGCCTCTCCCAGACTCCAGCACTGGGCCAAATTCCTCCCCAACCTCCTCCTCATCTGAGTCTGCCACCAGCTCCACTGGTAGCTGGTAGGCTACAACATGCACCTCTTCAGCACACCTTAAAGGGAGATCCAATCTAGGAGAAATTTCCTCACAGTGAGAACAGTTACTCAGTGGAACGGCTCGCCTTCAGAAGTTGTGGGTATTTCATCACTGAATTTTTTTTAAAACAGATTGGACAGCCATTTGTCTGAAATGATATTGGATCTCCTGCTTGAGTAAGGGGTTAGACTACACCAGGGGTGTCAAACTCAGATTTCATTGAGGGCCACATCAGGATTGTGTTTGACTTCAGAGGGCTGGCGTGGGCATGGCCAGGCTGGGCATGGCCAGCTCAACATAACTCGTGTCGGGGGCACCTGTGGTGGCCCAAGCACTTTGCCAGCAAAAACGGGTTCCTGAGCTCCATTTTTGTCTGTGATGGACTCCTGTAACCCTCTGCCAGTGAAAACGGGCCACGCGCAACCCTCGTGAGTTCTGTTTTTGGCTGCAACGGCCTCCTGCAACCTTCTGCCAGCAAAAACAGAGTTTGGGAGGGTCACATGCATCCTCCAGAGCTCCATTTACCCTGGCAGAAGCACCTCAGGCCAGTTCTAAAGCTGTTTCCTGGGCGGCCCTGTGGGCCAGATCTAAGCACCCTCCGGGCTGAATCCAGCCCTTAGACCTTGAGTTTGACACCCCTGGACTAGATGATCTCCAAGGCCCCTTCCAACTCTTTTTTTTAATTATGTGACCCCCAAGTGGAGCACTATTGGCTTACAACCTCCATTTGTATTTAGTTGTTAACTGAATCACCTATGGTCGTTAAGTGCATATGACTGCATCTTGAGATTTTCCTACTGTGTTCTCCACTAACTCTGCTTGTGGGAAGCCAGTTGTGAAACAAACAAATGATGATCATGTGACATGGAATGCTGCAGTGGTCATAATAATAATAAATAATAATAATAATAATTTTATTTCTATACCGCCCTTCTCCCGAAGGACTCAGGGCGGTGTACAGCCAATTTAAAAACACAAGACACAACAATGATTAAAAATTAAAATAATTAAATAGATTTGGCCGATTTAAAACCCCAAAAATTTAAAATACCCCAATTTAAAATTATTATGTTGATAGCCCGGCCTGGCGGAACAACATAAATGTGAGGATTGGTCACAAGCTGTTTTTTATACCATTGTAAATTGCTAAATAGGATATTTGGTAAGCGAGGACTATTTTTGTATCTTAATGCAAATACTACCTTAGTATTGAGATGGCAACTACCGTTTTGGGTTGCAGACTGGGAAGTTGCAAAATGTTGCATGAGAAACCAGCAGCAAATAGCTGTAATATTTTATGACTGTTCATATCAGCAGCAGTGGTGGTGGGTTGCCCCCAGTTTGGTCCGGTTCTTGCGAACCGGTAGTAAAACAGGAGGGAGTCTGTGCCCACCCACCCGGATGTCATCATAGACGATCTGCGCATGCGCAGAAGCTTGGCGTGCGCGCAATCCCATTGCGAACTGGTAGTAAAGGTAAGTAGAACCCACCCCTGATCAGTAGGATTTGAATTAGACTTGAAGGTGGCTTTAGCCTTTCTTTTATGAAAATAACTCATTTGCATAAATTTCCCAAACTTAAAAAGGGATGCAGACATGTACTGAATCAGTGAAACAATTGATTTCTTACATTTTATAAAATACCCACATGGGGTCAGATACATAAGAGACGTGATAGAAACCATACCTTCATTCAGGCAAGTATTGTAATAGCCTAATCATCTTTGTTGCTCTTCTCTGCACTCTTCCTAGAATCTCAATGTCTTTTTTATATCAGAACTGGAATCTGGATTCGTTTGCCACCCATCTCACTTCGAGATGACAGAATAGATAGAATAAGAATAGAATAGAATAGAGTACAGTAGAATAGAATAGAATAGAAAAATAATAGAATGGGATGGGATGGGATGGGATGGGATAGAAGAGAAGAGAAGAGAAGAGAAGAGAAGAGAAGAGAAGAGAAGAGAAGAGAAGCTGGAAGGGACCTTGGAAGTCTTCTAATCCAGCCCCTGTTCAAGCAGGAAAAAACTATATCATTTCAGATGATTCTGGGCTTTTATTCTAAGTGTAGTCTTACCAAGGCAGTATATCTTTAAAGTGATCCCAATACTAATATTTAACGAGATCTCTCTTGATTGCAGTCCAGGACTGAGACTGAAATGTGACTAACTTGTTACTTGATCTTATACTTTCCTTCTGATTTCAGTAATTAACAGTTGTTTCCCAGGATAACAACTTGCCGTGGAGCTTTAATATAGTCTTCAGCGTTTTCCTGCGTACAATCACAAGAAAAATCCCGTGAAATTCAAAGATTCTGTCTTTCTGGAGAAGTTTAAAAAAAAAACCAACCTAATAATTCCCCGCGAAGGTTTTCTCAGCCGCAAACGTCGTTCTTCCGCTCGCCTTTTACTGAGCCGCAAACGGGGGCGAAGTGAGGGCGCTTGTTTCGTCAGCTCAGCTTCACCTGCCCTTAACGCGCATACTCGAGCGAAAGTGGGCGGAGACTTTTGACAGTGGCCTCTCCTGCTTTCCACGTTCACCTAGCGAGAGGCGGGACGGCGGGCGGGCCAGCCAATCAGAGCCTCCCACGACCCACCCCGGGGATCCTGGTTTAGAATGTTAAAAGAGTTTCCAGAGTTCTCCGAGGTAAACTTTCCCGAGCGAGTTCGGCGGTTGCTCGCGGGTGGCTGCGGGCCGTCATGGTTTCTCCTCGGACTTGCGTTCACAAGCTGGGCTCGACGCTTCCGTTGCTGTTGGTGCTCTGGGATCTCCACTACGAGGGTGAGAGAAAGTTTTGCTGCTGGTTTGGCAATTGTTAACGTGGGAAATTTAGGGACTTGGGCGAGAGAAGGGAGTTGCGGCGGGGCGGAGGCAGGAAGGCGTATGTTGGGGTTGAGGGAGTTGATAGAAACGGGTTAAAGTGCATGCATTATAAATCATCTTCTTATAGAGCAGGGGTCCCCAAACTTGGCAGCTTTAAGACTTGTGGACTTCAACTCCCAGAATTCTCCAGCCAGCTATGCTGGCTGGAGAATTCTGGGAGTTGAAGTCCACAAGTCTTAAAGCTGCCAAGTTTGAAGACCTCTGCTATAGGGCTAAAAACACATGGTCTCGCTTTGGATCGTCGCAAAGGTGGAAGTTACAGCCTTCCTTGTAGAGAAGGTTACAGTGAAACTCCCTTGGAAAGAAAACGAGTGTTTCTCAACCTTGAAGGTGTGTGGACTTCATTCCCCAGCCCCATATTACTAGATAAATATCTAAACTGGAGATTAAATGTTTAATTTAAAAAAAAAAATTGCTAGACCAATTCTCGGATACAGCTCATCTATCCAGAACCCGCACTGCATATCGGACATAAATACAATCGAGAGAGTCCAGAAATATTTCACGAGAAGAGTCCTCCATTCCTCTACCCGCAATAAAATACCTTATGCCAGAATCCAAATTTTGGGCTTAGACAACTTAGAACTATGCTGACTTCGGTCTGACCTAAGCGTAGTATATAAAATTATCTGCCACAAAGTCCTACCTGTCAATGACTACTTCAGCTTCAACCACAACAATACACGAGCAAATAATAGATACAAACTCAAGGTAAACCGCCCCAAACTCAATTGCAGAAAATACGACTTCAGCAACAGAGTGGTCAATGCCTGGAATGCACTACCTGACTGTATTTTTTCCCCAAACCACCAAAACTTTAACATTAAACTGTCTACTGTTGACCTCACCCCATTCCTAAGAGATCTGTAAGGGGCGTGCATAAGAACACCAGCGTGCCTACCGTCCCTGTCCTAATGTTTCCTCTTTTTTTATCTATTTTATGTATCCAATCTATGTTTATACTTATTACCTACTACGTTCTTGACAAATACAATAAAAAAAAATATTAGATATTAGCTGGCTGGGGAATTCCAGGAGTTGAAGCCCACACCTCTTCAAGTTGCCAAGGTTGAAAAAGCATTGATATAAATGGTACAGTTCTGCTTTTGATGAGTGGGATCAAATTAATGACGTTGAAAAGGTTCATGAAGAAGGGGGAAATATCTATCTCCAAGGGAGGTATTGTCCTTACAGGAAAAGCTCAAAATATTCTAATGGTAGCCTCTGTTTCATGGAACTGTAGGTGGTTCTTAGAAAGTTGGCATTTGCAGGCATAGTCCTGGGACCATAACTCTAAAATTAAAATGTTGTAACTTCTATGCAAGCTGTGCTCATTTAATCAATGGCTTTTACTTCATATGAATTGTGTTTAGGAATTTAGCCCATGAACTGGTAAATGCCCATTTTCTGTTTTGCTGAAATTTGCCCAAATTTCCGAAATAATTAAATCAACCATTTAGTGGACCAGCAAAACACTGTGGACACAGTACACATGGACTTCAATAAGGCATTTGACAAAGTAGATCACAACCTATTTCTTGGTAAGCTGGAAAAATGTGGGATAGACAGCATCACTGCCGGATGGAATCATTTATTTATTTGTAAAATTTATTAGCCATCCATTTTATCCCACACTAACTCTGAGAGTGTTACAATATCAAAAGATAGAACAATAAAGTCTAATAATTCAAATACAAGACTGTTAAAAAAATCAGTCTAGTTAAAAAGATGGGGAGGGAGGGAGTATGATGAAAAGGGGGGAGGTAGTATCTGTTATTAATCTATGAACTACCGCCAATGTGAAACCCCTCCATTGGAGCCCCAAATCAACTTGTAGAGCCAGGTCTTTTGTTCTTATAGAAGGTAAGGAGGATAGGAGTTGACCTCATTCTATGGGGAGGGTAAGATGTTCCCAAGGCCAGGTGCAACGGCAGAGAAAGCTCTTTTCTTGACCCCGCCAGCCAAAATACCCTGCTCGATGGAGCCCGCAAACATGGTAGCACAGGTGGGGCAGGCCAATCCCACTGGGATGAGACCAGTGGTGAAATCCAAATGTTTTTACTACCGGTTCTGTGGGCATGGCTTGGCGGACGTGGCAGGGGTGCAAAATCTCCATTCCCACTCAACTCCAGGGGAAGCATACTGCAAAATCTCCATTCCCACCCCACTCTGGGCCAGCCAGAGGTGATATTTGCCGGTTCTCCGAACTGCTCAAAATTTCTGCTACCGGTTCTCCAGAACCTGCTAGATTTCATCCCTGGATGAGACAATCCTTTAAGTAGCCTGGACGCACATCATTAAAGTCTTTAAAACTAATTAATAGCTGGAATTGCACCAGGAAGCAAACCAGCAGCCAGTGCAGCTCACAGAGCAGTAGTAATATAAGGGCCACCCTTGAGGCTGCCTGCACCACTGCACTCTGCGTCAGCTGTAGCTTCTGAATGCTCTTCAAGGGTAGCCCTATATGGAGTGCATTGCAGTAGTCCAACTGTGAGATGACTAGGTCTTGAATGACTGAGCGCAGGAACTCCTGATCCAGAAGAGGCTGCAACTGGTGCACAACTCGTAATTGTGCAGAGGCTCTCCTAGCTGTAACTACCACCTGCTCTTTGAGCAGGGGTCACCAGTCCAGGAGGACCCCAAGTTGCAGACCTGATCCATCTGGACTAGTCCCATCCCATCTAGAATTATCTATTTATTTATTTATATGCCGGTTTATATGCCGCCCTTTTCCGGAGACTCAGGGCGGCTTACAATGCGTTAAGCAATAGCCTTCATACTTTTGTATATACCTGCTTAGTAGAGCTTTCAGCCCCCCCCCCCCCCCCCCAAGCGGTGTTCTTTTTTATACAAAGTCAGCTTATTGCCCCCACAAACCGGGTCCTCATTTTACCTACCTTGAAAGGATGGAAGGCTGAGTCAACCTTGAGCCTGGTGAGATTTGAACTTGCAGTAATTGCAGGCAGCTGGTGTTACTTAACAGTGCTTTAGTCTGCTGTGCTACCAAGGCTCTTGGTAAAGGTTGACATCCTGGATCTTGGGGCTCCATGCACCCAAAGCCATTTGGTCTTGCCTGCGTTCAGTCGAAGGCTGTTGTCCCCCATCCAACCACAGCCTCCAGGTACCACGGGAGGGCAGCAATAGTTTGGGTCACTAGGGGTAGAAATATAGAGTTGGGTATCATCAGCATACTGCAGATACCTCAACCTATGGTGATGGATGATCTCACCCATTGGCTTCATGTAGATGTTAAAAAGGAATGGAGAGAGGACTGAGCTCTGTGGAAATTCTATTATTAAGCATTGTGTAGAGACTAAAGTTGAAGCTTTGGTTGTTGTATTAGTTCTAAGAAGAGTAATTCAGTTATGTCATTGGTCAATTGAACAAGTGTGTGATGCCCATATATGGAATCCAGAGGGGTTGTATATATGTGCATGCATATTAGAGTCCAGACATGTACAATACACGTTGAAGCATAAATTGATTTATTGACCAATATAGTAGTCCCAATGGGTATTGCTATACCAAAGAGGAGTAAGATCACAAGTCTTCTTTATTGATATATGCAAACCATCCCTTCCATTTGATTGATTGATTATAATTAACTTAAGCAGCAACAATACAATAGATCATTATTGTTACAGTAATGCAACCTTTATTGATAGGCTTTATTTTTATGCATATTAAAGTATTAGTTGATGAAGTGAATAGGTTGGAGAGGCTGGTATTCCTCAGCTCCATGGAAGCATTGGAGATGCCTAGGAACTCTGTGTGAGCTTGAACACCACATAGGCAACAAGGAGGCTGCTGGGAATATGGAGGCTCTGTAGACACATGTAGAGGCTACTTGGCAGTCTATTGGGAACGCTGGAGATGTGAAAGGTGGGTGGGAGGTGGAGATGCTACTGAAGCTGTTGTGGCTCAGAGTCCTGGGAAGTGGCTACAAGAGGCTTTTTAATTTCTGCATCACCCTTGGGCTTTGGGTTGCTGAGACGTGGGCTGGTTTGGTCTTCGTGAACTATCTCTGGGCTTATGGAGGGTCCTGAGGGCTACTCTGGAGTGAGGATGGAGATTGTGGGACATGCTCAGGTACTGCTGGGCTTGGGGATGATGGTGTGCTTTTTAGGGTTTTCTGACAGCTTTGAGGCCACTGATAGCTTGACCCTTCTTGCTGGGCTCTGGCATTACTCAACCAGGGATCTTCCCTGGGCCTAAGAAGGGGGTGTTTTTCTGACCCTTAGGGGTTTGTGATCTTTGACCCTGATGATGGGTGGTGTAATACAAGTGTGCTCTCAGGTTCAGCTTATGGTCACTCACTCATACACTCAAAGGCCTGGAAAATTGCCACACTCAATCCCAAATCACTGAACAGAAAGGCACAAACGGTTCTTTAAAGTACACAGAGACCCAATGAATTTAAAATAACAGCAATCTTTTCCTGATATATTTTTGCTCTTACATGCACACACACTCATCCACAGTTACCCAGCGTCCACTACTAGGCAGCCAGGCACTAGCCGCCAAGTATGGGATCCAAAAACAATTCAAAAAGACAGGACTGGCTTCAGGACCTCTTTTTATCTCCCAGTATTGGCGGGGAGGGGCTTTCCATGTGCTCAGGCCCAACTTTTGTCGTTTTCCATTAACGACTTGGTTCTTTTCCCTGAAAGAGCTTTTCCTGGTTTTTGTCCACCCTGCCACTTTTAGGTATGGTGGCTTTGGCCTAGTCTCCGGGTGGCAAGTGGCCCTGGTTGTTCTTTCCCTAGAAGGGCTTGGACCCCTGAGGTAACCAAGTACCAGTATGGTTGGGTCACTGTGGGACACGATGGGTTATTGTAGCTTCCTTGTATGTTGATTCTATCTATTGATTGTATGACTTGTAAGCCTGGGAGGAGGGACCAAGATGTGGAGAGAGCTGAGAGAAACCTCCGGATGGTCACAAGCAGAGGTAGATATAGCATGAACCCAGGGGAAGGGCACATTTGGGGACATTGGACTTGCCACCTTTTCTAGCCATGTAGGCCTGATTTCATCTATTGGTGGTATTAGAGATATTGGTTATTTTTGATTTCCATTTTTTGAGAAATGCAGAAAAGAAAAGAAAAACTGATCTGTGTTTTTTTCCCACTCTTCCTTCAGGAGTACAATGTGGCATAAATGCAGAAGTAGAAAAGCAGCTTGAATTGGGAAAAAAGCTGCTGGCAGCTGGGCAGCTGGCAGATGCTTTGTCGCATTTCCATGCTGCCATAGGTAGGTACTTGAAGACTGCTGAGCTTCCCTTCTAAATATATGGTTTTCGCTCCCTCTGGCCTAGATAATATGTATGAGATTAAAATTAGGGGTTGAGAAACTTATTCTTGGTGAGAATTCTAATTGCTGAATGAATGTTTTTATACTTGGTTCACAGGTCCAAAATAATCTAACTTCTCAAACAGGAATTAAGTGAAAAGGCTGGTATATTTTTGCCAGGTACATGTTAAAGTCTTATTAGCAGGGATGGCGAAAAGGATGTTCCATTTCTGATCAATTATTTGGTCTTCCACAAGAGAAAGATGTAGAATCTAAACAACCAAATTGTAAAATAATTTTCCACACATGTGAGTCTGTAGTTAGAGATTAGAAGCTGTAGCACGTTGGGGCTCAACTTCCTTAAATACCCACTTCTGTAAAGCCTTTAAGCAGACTGGGATTCGATAGATGTTCTATGCATACTGCTGTTAAAATTTCATTACAGTGCCTACATTGCTGGAAGCATTCCTTCCTTGAGTTATATGCGATGTCACACACAGACACACACACACTAATTGTATTCCTCCTTGTTACTTGCTCCTTTCTCCAAAGCCTTGGCTGACTTAAGGCTATGTTCTGATTGCTACTTTTTTTTTTTCTTGCAGAAGGAGATGCCGATAACTACCTTGCTTATTACCGAAGAGCCACAGTATATCTAGCCATGGGCAAATCAAAAGCTGCCATTCGTGATTTAAGCAGGGTAGTCGAATTAAAGCAGGATTTTACATCGGTAAGCAGTACTTTCTAAAGATTCCTTCGGGGTGGCTGGAAATGGCTTTTGGTCTTCATTTTTCTGTTGCCTTTTAAAGGGGAGTCTGTCTCTTTTCTTTTTTAGTAAGTGGTGTAATCTAACAGGAAACCTCAATTATCATACAACTTGGGGAGATTAAATACAGGCTGAAATTCTAGCTGGGGAGACAGGAGTTCCATAGTACTAATTCGGCATGTGAATTTGCTCTGATTACTTTGAGGAGTATTAATACCCTTGAAGATTGGGGGATGAAGTTTTTGGCATAGCTGCAAATTGCTGAAAGTATGTGCAGAGGGATTCTTAAATCCTTTTTAGATTCTTAAGTAGCCTTTCCTCATTATAATGCGATATACAGCAGCACTATATATCCTGATGCCATTATATCAACAATATTTATAATATTTCTAGTGCTTGCAAGATGTATGTTTTTAGAAACATAATGCTGATCTATATTTTGAATAACGAAGTAACACTTTTAAAAATTGGAAAGTTCTGGAGATATTGCAATTTATTTCAATATTTAGTAATTTTGTTGCCAAGAATTATATTTTTAAATTTGGATCTTATCTAAGATTCAAATTGTGATCTAGATTTTTTTAGAGTAGCATACAATAATTTAACTTTGCCTTGTGTTGAAACCAAAGTAAATTCAGCACAAGCATTTTTGTGTGCATATATTTTAAAAAATCAGGACAGTAGCTATAATGCAAGAAAAAAATGAAGCAAGATTTTGACCATGCAGCTGCAACTGCCATATTGACTCCTTTTTTGACTCCTTAGGTGTCTAACCAGAAATATTTTTTTCTCTCAGCAGTAATGATTTTGACATTTATTTTGCTCTTTCAATGAGACTATAATTGGAGGGAATTTCAAAGTAACCATGTACACAATGCATTCACTTGAAAATCCTTTGAGTTTAAAAGAAAATGATTAAATTGTGCCTGCATTTGCAATGATACACTTTTGATTTTGATATAATGATATACGTAAGATGGGCTGCAAACGAGTCTAATAAATACTTTTAAATATTATTGCTAAAATATATAACTAGAAAGTGTAGAAACCATGGACATTATGAGCCAGGGGAAGGTAAGATAATGTCTAAAATCTCCAGGATTTTACTTAATGTAATTTACGTAGAATGTACTTTTCTATTACTTTTTTTAAAGGCGCGACTACAAAGAGGCCATCTGCTGCTTAAGCAGGGAAAGTTGGATGAAGCTGTAGAAGATTTTGAAGGCGTGGTAAGTGAAGTGCTTTCTCAAGGCAAAATTGAAATAGCAGCTGTGATAAAGGAATTGAGCATTGTAGTCCCTGTATGTATACTCTAGGGTGATGGTTTGGTTTGGAATTTGAGTAGCGCTAGAGTCATCGAGAAATCAGGACCATGTAAACAGTGCTACTGTCCTCCATCTTTAATTTCCTTTTAACATTGAAATGGCCTAAACCCGACTCCTTTTCTGCACCAGAATATACTTAGAAAGCATGAAGGCCAGAGATTGCCAGTGGGTGTGCCATTGGGACATTTCATATCTGACTGGAAGCAGGAAAAGCTAAAAAAAGAAGAAGAAAAACACCTTATATCTCTTCCCCCAACAAAATTAGAAGTGGAAGGGGAGTGACTTTTTGGAGTTCCAAATACACAACCAGTTTCACAGAGACAAGAAAATGGATTCAAATAACAGAATAACAGAGTTGGAAGGGACTTTGGAAGTCTTATAGTCCAATCCATTGCTTGAGCAGCAGAGCCTTATACAATTTCAGACAAATGGCTGTTCAGTCTTTTCTTAAAATCCTCCAGTGATGAAACGCTCAAAATTTCTGAAGGCAAGCCATTCCACAGATTAATTGTTCTCACCATTAGGAAATTTCTCCTTAGTTCTAGGTTGCTTCTCTTCTTGATTAGTTTCTATCCATTGTTTCTTGCCTTGCCTTTTAGTGCTTTGGAAAATAGGTTGATACCCCTCTTCTTTGTGGCAGCCCCTCAAATACTGAAACATTGCTATGATGTCTCCCCTATTGCTTCTTTTCACTAAACTAGACCTACCCAATTCCTGTAAATGTTCTTCATATGTTTTAAGTTTAACCTCCAGCCCCTAATCATCTTTGTTGCTCTTCTTTGCACTCTTTCCAGAGTCTCAACATCTTTTTTATATTGTGACCAAAATTGGATGCAGTATTCTAAGTGTGGTTTTACCAAGGCCTTATAAAGCGGTAGTATCACTTCACATGATCTTGATTCTATCCCTCTGTTAATGCAGCCTAGGTTGGGCTATTTCCATACAACACACCTTTATAGTTTTGCATTTAGAAAACAAGTAATTATTATCCATACAGTTGACAAAGAGATGTTTGCTTTGTCGTGAATTTTCTTCAAATCAGGTTTTTTTGTTTGTTTGTTTTTTACTTCTCCTTTATATCTTTTGCATTCCCAATATTTTCACGCTAATTTTCAGGGTGGGTTCTAAATTTTTTTACTACCGGTTCTGTGGGTGTGGCTTATTTTGTGGGCGTGGCTTGATGGTCATGTGACAATTCTTTAGGATTTAGCAGAGGCTTTTAACTGCTTGCAGAGCTGTACGGGTCTACTCATTTGTTTTTGGAGGCACCAATCTATTCATTTATTTTTGGAGGCACCGGTCTGCTCATTTGTTTTTGGAGGCACTGATCTACCACCACACTGCCTTTTAACATTGATCAGCTGTAGGGCGGCCCTTTGAAGCCCCGCAGCAAGAGTTTAAACAGTTTTTTTCCTTCTAGCCAATCAGCTGGGATTTGGGAGGCAGCAACAGATTGGGGGTAGGGCCAAATAAAAGGTAAGAATAACGCGGGGCGGGAGGGCCCAGCTCCCGAACAAAGAGAACCGGTTCGGTGATGTCATATTGTCACTGCTATTGGCTCGGCCGAATCGGGCCGAACCGGGAGGAACCCACCACTGCTAATTTTGATATGATTATTTTGTATGTACTCAACATTCCTCAACATAAAACAGTCAAAATGGTTCTTCAACCAATCTTGCCCTTACTGGAGCTCAGAATTCAAAATAAATATTAGGAAGCTAAAGACTGCTTGTTCTGCCTTGAAATAAAAAAAGAACACATTATTTTGATTGCCTATTTAATGTTCGTTAAATATTATGCAACTTATTTGGTTTTTCTATATTGAGAGAAGATACGTAAAATCTTTAATGCAAAAACTAGAATGATCATTTGCTAAATTGCAGCTTAGTATATTTCAGGTACAATTAGACTATGTAGAAAAATAAAATTACCGTCTAAGTAAGAAATGATGAGATTTGAAAACGGGCACCCAGCCATTTACTTAAGCTTCCCAGGTGGCAATATGTTAAAAAAATAAATCGTTAGGAGAGAGTTATTTTGAATACATTTCTGAGGGAATTTTTCTATTTGTTTTCTGAATTGTCTGTAGCAGCTCCCTTCCTTATAGAAAAATAAAGAGCAGGCCTGCATTGTGGTCTTTTGTACATTGAAGTCATAATTCAAATGGATGTAGGCATTGCCAACTGATCTGCTATGGACTGGGCAGTCCCTGCCTGACTGGAAAACAGTACGGGCCTGGTGGCTCAGCAGACTAAAAGCATTGTGATTAACACCAGCTGTCTGCAATTACTGTAAGTTCGAATCTCACCAGGCTCAAGGTTGACTCAGCCCTCCATCCTTTCTAAGGTAGGTAAAATGAGGACCCAGATTGTGGGGGCAATAAGCTGACTTTCTATAAATATACAAAAGTATGAAGGCTATTGCTTAACGCATTGTAAGCCGCCCTGAGTCTCCGGAGAAGGGCGGCATATAAATCAAATTAAAAAAAAAAAAAAAGTGCAGGTTTGGTTTTAAAAAAGGGGTGGGGGTGAAAGGATCAGCTTCACAGTAATTGTTAGCTGACTAGTAGAAGAGTTTCTAGTTGCTTTTCCCCCTTGTATCCCATCACCTGGAGAACAGGTGCTCCCATTAAGAATTAAAGCTCACAATTGGGAAAACAACTTCAATCTATTTTATGTTCTTCCACTAGAGGCCAGCAAAGTCTGTCCTTGAGGGCTAGCTTTATTAAAACTGCATCCCCCACCAGTGTAAAAGTGAACAATAATAATTATTTTTATATTTTATCACGTAAACATTTATTACATAAAATGTATAATTTATATATTTATATTATACCTAAAATAATCATAATTGAAAAAAATAAAAATACCGCTTGAACACTAGAAGCGCTGACAAAAACATCACCAGTCAATTGCAAAAGGCAGCTTTACTTAGGACAGCTTACAACTTGTGACGATACCTCTAACACCATCAAACATCTGCTTATCTGAGATGCTTGGGAAGAACTTGGTAGGTGGGCACTTTGATCGCCTGCCCCCTTGTCCCATGGATTCCTCTCCCAACAGGAGAGGAAGGCAATGGGCTTAATTGAATGGCATGGTTTATTCTTTCTTTGCCACCCTAAATGTTTTAAGTGACCAGTGTTAGCATGAATAGCTTAGTTAAAATGTTTTCAGTCCAGAAATGTTTAGGTTTTTCTGCTTATGGAGGACTTGATGTGACAGCTTTCTCTTGTGTTTGGTTAACTTCAAAGATGTTTAATAAAATGTTTTCTTTTCCTCCGCCAATAAATTTATTTTGTGTTTTCATTTCTTTCCATTGTTCTGGAACATGATTCCATTTGCTTCTAGCAATAATCCAAAAGTATTTTGAATCCAGGGGTGGTTTTTTTAGGGGTGGGTGGGTGCAAGAGGAAGAGGTCATATTCAACATTCATACTGATGTTGCTTCTCAAGTGCTCCTGTTGACAGTCCCTGATAAAGTGAGAAGCTCAAGAAACCCAGGTTCATTGCTTAGTGTACATATGAGTTGCAGTCGTTGACTTGTCCTTTTCCTAACAAATCCATCATAAGCCAAGATTTGGCTATAAGCTGGATTTGAAGTTCTGATGCCACACACCCCCACTCCAGCGCTCTGCAGTCACATGATCACATTTTGGATGCTCAGCAATTGGTCCACATGTATGGCCTTTAACAAGGGTACACGTTAAACCAGGGTTTTGAGGGCTTGTTGGTAAAATTCCTTTATACATGAAGAGAGCTACTTTTATGTTGTTCTTGTGAAAGTTTTCATAATTGGTAGTAAGCATTTAGAACTTCATGGACATCTTTTGCTAGCACAATGGACTGTTTAAGAGTTCTCCAATGTTTCTGGCTTTGCAATGTTTCCCCACTTTGGTGGGGGAAGGGGAGGGTTCACGCAAGCTGTTGGCAAGCACATGCACAGTTCCATTTCCACAAAAGGTATTGGAGAGCAGTTGTCACCAACCTTGGCAACTTTAAGCCTGGAGGACTTCAACTCCCAGAATTCCCCAGCCAGCAAAGCTGGCTGGGGAATTCTGCGAGTTGAAGTCCTCCAGGCTTAAAGTTGCCAAGGTTGGAGACCCCTATTGTAGAGGGCCAGGACAAAGAAGTGATTGAGTGAGGACTAAGGAAATTTTATTTGGTTTAATTTTAACTTATTCTTAATTAAACTCAGTTTGGTTCATGAAATAGGATTTATACGTAACGGATAATGTAGCCTTTTTCACCTTTATTGAAAAAAAATTAAAATGGGGGGTTTACGTTTGGTGGGCTTGAGAGGCTGCCTTATGCTTCTAAGGGAGGTCCACCTGCAGCTGCTTTAGAATAGCCATAGCAATAGCACTTAGACTTCTATACTGCTTCATAGTGCTTTTACAGCCCTCTCTAAGCGGTTTACAGAGTCAGCATATTGCCCCCAACAATCTGGGTCCTCATTTTACCCACTTCGGAAGGATGGAAGGCTGAGTCAACCTTCGGGTGAGCGGGTGAGATTTGAACTGCCGAACTGCAGCTAGTAGTCAGCTGAAGTAGCCTGCAGTACTGCACTCTAACTGCTGCGCCACCTCGGAATTCAGCCCTCTCCTCGCCTTTGGTCCTTCTGTAGCTCTAGACCGCCTTCTACCGCATAGCTCCCAGCGACCGGTAAGATCCCACAGAGTTGGTCTCCTCCGGGTCCCGTCAGCTAAACAATGCCGGCTGGCGGGCCCGCGGGGGAGGGCCTTCTCTGTGGCTGCTTCAGCTCTCTGGAACCAATTACCTCCTGAGGTCCGGACCATCCCCACCCTACTGGTCTTCCGAAAAGCTGTGAAGACCTGACTTTTCCGGCAGGCCTGGGGCCGTTGATCTCGCTTTGCGATCTGGCGAGATCCGCCCATGAATGGTGTGAATGCGTTCTAAGGTTTTTAATGTTTTTTAATCTTTTAAATGTTTTTAGAATGGTTTTTTTTTTAATGTATTGTGAGCCGCCCTGAGTCTCCGGAGAGGGACGGCATATAAATTTAATAAATAAAATAATAGTAATAATAATAATGGAAATTTCACCTTCTAATGCTTATCTTCTCTTCTCCTTTCCCTACGTCCTCCTTTGGCAGCCAACTCAGTCCTTGACTTAGGTGAGAATGGATTGAGAGTGGGACATAAGTTGTACAGACAGAACTTGAAAAGGAGAGAGAAGCCTGGGGAAAGGCTCCCAGGTTGTAGTCTTCAGCACATTGATTTTGTAGAATACACATATTCCCCTGAAATTACTTGCTGTTATGTGTCTCAGGAAGATAATATACAGTATAGATGGGAGTGGGGAGGAAGGGAGAAAAAGAGAGGCTAAATATACACAGACTTGAGTATTGAACCCTTGGACTATTTGCCTGTTTGGGGGACATGTGTCAACATCTGCCTTTGTTGTGAGTTGTCTGAAGTTTGGGGAAGAAGGAACAGAAAAGAACAGTCTGGTAATAACAAGATGCAACATTTTCAGAGGGAGAACTCATTTTAGAGCCATGGTCTTTCTCTTCTGTTCTGTTTGGACATACGCAGCCATTTTCTTTTGAAGTGACTGGGGAACTGCCTGCATTCCTGTTCTGGATTTCCAAGTCAATAATCTAAAATAATTTTTTCTAGGCTCTAATTTTTCTGTGCTAAAGAATTCAAAGGCCTGGCTTTGTTTTACTGTGGGTTTGTCGATGGGTGTCAAACACAGGGTGAGGTGTTCGAATTTGTATTTCAACATGTAATTGGGGTGTGTGTGTGTGTGCTCATTACTTGTAGCTCCTGTCTCACCCCAGTGAGAAAGAAGGAGGAGAAGCCCGCGCTCAGTTGTTGAAGTCAGATGAGGCTCGGCGCCTGCGTTCCCAAGCACAGTCTGCCTTTCTCGAAAAAGATTACCACACTGCTATCACTCTCTTGGATAAAATTCTGGAAGTAAGTCCCAGACTGGAAACTGATGCCAAGATGTAAGCATGGTTATTACTTTTTAATTTTTAATTTTTAATTAAAAGTTACTTTGGAGTCACAGGAACATTCAGGTAGGTATATTTTTTTCACCAGATGCTTGTAAATTAGAAGAGTTTCCCTCATTGGGCAAAGTTTCAGTTGAGTGGCAGTACTTTGCCTGATTTTCAATGCTAAAAAAGGTAAAGGTTCCCCTCGCACATATGTCCTAGTCGTTCCCGACTCTAGGGGGTGGTGCTCATCTCCATTTCAAAGCCGAGAGCCAGCGCTGTCTGAAGACGTCTCCGTGGTCACATGGCCGGCATGACTAAATGCCGAAGACGCATGGAACGCTGTTACCTTCCCACCAAAGATGGTCCCTATTTTTCTACTTGAATTTTTTACGTGCTTTCGAACTGCTAGGTTGGCAGAAGCTGAGGCAAGTAACAGGAGCTCACCCCATTACGCTGCACTAGGGATTCGAACCTCTGAACTGCCGACCTTTTGATCAACAAGCTCAGCGTCTTAGCCACTGAGCCTCTGTGTCCCCTTTTCAATGTTAAATACTGTACAATTGGACCTTTTTCAATGCTAAATACTGTACAATTGGATCTGATGCGTACCTGATTAGATTAGAGATTCCTAGGGTATCTTGGAACTGTAGCCCGGATTGGGAAGTTGAAAAAAACCTCCAAGAAGAAGGCAGTGGCAAGCAATTTCTTTACCATTGCCACAACAATTTACAAATTTATTCATGAAATCCTCCAGAGCAAGTCTCCTTTTAACCGAGATTTTCCAATTATTTTCCAATTTAACCACAATTTCCAAAAAATGTGTTGGTTAGATTAACCTGATAAGATAAAATCTCAGTTAAAAGTAGATTCGCTCCGGAGGAATCAAAAAAATTGTGTTGAACGTTTTGCTCCGATTGTGTAGAGATGGTTATCCAATTCTTAAAGCGTATATGGCATTGTGTGGCTTATTGCTTTCTTTTAGGTAGGAAGGTCCTTTTGAACAAGTACAAATAGGATTAAAATCTCCTTTCGTTTCTGGTTTCTCAAGGTTTGTGTTTGGGATCCGGATATGCGAGAACTTCGAGCTGAAAGCTACATTAAGGAAGGAGAGCCTGGGAAGGCTATCAATGACTTGAAGGCTGCTGCCAAATTGAAGAGTGATAATACTGAAGCTTTCTATAAAATCAGCACAATATACTATGAATTAGGGGACCACGAAATGTCTCTAAGGTAAAATGCTGTGGGGAGAACAAAAAATCTTTAGAATTTTAGAAAACATGCACTGAATGGAAAGATGCCCTTGCCAAGATGAAGGAAAGGTTATTTGAAGGAGGAGGAAGAAACATGGATATGGAGTTCTCCCAGGCCTCCAAATTCCTCTCTTTTTTCCCCATGGGAGAGAAAATTTCCAGAATGACCTGGGGGAGAAAGAAGTGTTCAGTGTACCTCCGTACGGCTCCCTTATGCCAGGTTTTAAGATGGAATATACTATATTACTGTAGCATAGTTAAGATGCACTATAAAAAAAAGTTGATGTGTTCGATCAGAATCTGAATTTATGCTATTTTTTCCCCTCTGCATTTCAGTATCCCTTTCTCAGGGAAACCTAGATACTTCTCCCCTTTTTTACTAAACAGTAGTTTACAAGAGGGAAAGAACTAAGCAAAGGATACAATGTTACGAATTAATTGATGAATTAATCCATTGCGACTAATATAATGAATGTCATCTGCCCAAACTGTCTGATTCTTGACTCAAGGAAAACTAGAAACATACAACATATGATCCTTTTTTCAGTAGCCCACCCACAAAGGTTAATGACTGTGCTTCAAATAATAATGAATCATAAAGTCATATATACTTAGATATAAAAGGATACATTTAATTAAATTCTATTGATTTTATTACTGCAAGTAAGTCTCTGAACGGCTGAATAATTTGAGATTATTGCTAACTATTTTTAAGAATATCAGTTGATTTTGTGTTTCTTTTCTGCTAATACTAGAGAAAAGCTCTGTGTGTGTGCGTGTATGTATATAAACTAGGTGCAAGATATGACAGCAGTAATACTGGACATGTAACAATTGAGTTGTATGAAAAGGACCCATAATTTTAAATCTATTATTGATTCCAAGCAATGTACTATGTATACAATTGGCATTTTTTAAATTTATATTAAAGAATTGGAAAAATTACTAATTCTTCTGTATAAATGCCCTCGTTTTGCAGCTTGTCCATGCTGTATATTCTGAAATTCCTTTAATAGACATTCTAGAGTGGATGAATATATTTCTTGGGTGACGTTTTTCTTGGATGTCTTCAAGCAGGAGAATGCAATTCCCAGTCCCCATGACTAACAATCCTCTATATAAATAAAAATGTAAATGTCCGTTTGTTCAAAATCGTAAATCTCTGAAAGTTCTTCACTGATTGCTTTGAAATTTTGACACAACGTTGCATTCGAATACGTGCATGTTTTTATATACCTATATTATATAGATGTCACACCTGTGACAGGTAAAAACATGCTTTTTTGAAAAAACAGCGCCATCTGTTGGACATAAAAGCAACACATGCTATACTATCTTTTTGAACTTTAACGTCGCAGCACCACAATGGCAGGCGCGAACCGGGTCTTTTCCCCTCAGCGCCGCCGCCGCCAAAACCACAAACAAAATGGCGGGAAATGTCAACGGCCACCAAGCGTCCCCCCGACTAACGGAGTATGCCGTACCTTTGGCAGGGACCCCAATGCCGTCTGTGGTGTGGAGAGTTGCGAAGGTGAAGGCGGCTATACCGGCAAGCTGGGAAACCAGCTCTTACACCCACGGCAAACTGGGACGGAGGCAAAATAGGCGTGACCTGTGCTACAGAGGGACATTATTGGCACTCGGTCAAAAAATATTGTATACCCACAAGACTGGGCCACAGCAGTGCGTGGCCGGGTACAGCTAGTTTAATATAAAAAATGTAATCAGCCACAACGTGTGAAGGCCTTTACATTTTGTTGCATTTCTCCATACCTCTGATGGAGGGGCGATTAATATCCCTATTTCTCAGCAGAGGAAGTGAACCGAGAGGAAGGGGTCTTTTGCAAACGGACTAGGAGCAGGGACTGAACTCTCTTTGTTTTAACACCAGCATCTTGATCCCACAACCTAATTCTCCCTCCCCCTTTGTTGTTTCCTGTGTGCAAAGTGAAGTGCGGGAATGTCTGAAACTGGACCAAGACCATAAGGAGTGCTTTTCTCACTACAAGCGAGTAAAGAAGCTCAACAAGCAGATTGTTTCAGCAGAAGAGCTCATCAAAGAAAGAAGGTGAGTCCTCCATTTTGTGGTTTTGTTTTCGTGGTTGAGTTTCCTCTCTGTGACTCCTTACAAAGATCACCTTGCCAGTTCAGGAATGGTCTGCACTGCATTACCATATCCCCAAGAGATGGCCATCCAGCCTCTGATTAAAAAGACTGGGATGAAGGAGAGTCCATCACCCTCCAAGGCATTTGGTGTCCCTGTTGAATAGTTCTTGCTGTTAAGACCTTTTTCTGTTGCCTAGCCATAACTTTGTTTTCATCATCTTCATCACTATTTTAACCATTGTCTATCCACTGCAGGATGAAGGCCCCTTCCACATATTTCCAACCAATACGGTCCTGAGTTTTCTTTTGCCAATTGGGCCCACAATACTTGCGATCCATCTTGTTTTAGATCTCTTTCATGGGCGCTTTTTATCAAGTGGGATCCATTCTGTGACTGCCTGTAAAGCACTGTGAAGCAGTATATAAGTATAAGTGCTATTGCTATTCACATGGTTTTTTTTTTCAGCAGCCTTATTTTAAATTTTAAATTTTAAAAACTTTTAACTAACTTTTTTTGTAACTCCAGTAGTAAGCTTTACCAAGGGCATTTTTTTGGCCTGTCATATGTATTTCCATTCTATTTCTTTATAGGGTAAAAATTGCTTCACATTTGTCATTTTTCCATTAACATCTTTTGGACATAGTCTATTCATGGAAAGCCAGCATCATTGCTAACATTGTAACTAATTTCTGGGCCCATTCCTTGAAAATCTCCTGAAGTATTTAAAATATATAACAATTTGTATTATTTTGTAGATCTCTGTACTAACCTAAAACCAAAAACAAATTTACACTTTTTCCTTTTCTGCCTGGAATCTTTAGTTCCTTCCAGTGTCCAATTGTATAATGAGAAAATTTTAAATCTCTCTTGTGACTTAAGATAGACAAAACAATTTGGTTCCTGCAAAAAGCTTTTTATTTTATTTAATTATTTTCAAAATCTTAGAGTAAATGTCTCACTGCTCCAAATTTGTCTGGATCCTTAATTTATTTATAACTTTCTAGATTAAATTTGTATTTAGCTTTTTGCTGTTTATTTCCAATTCTTTAATTGGAACCCAATATCCATTAAAAGGGCATGGTTATGAGCATGATGGATGATCCCAATTACTTCTCAGAGAAGCAGCTTTTGCTCCAGGAATTTTTAATGTCATGGTTTGTGGCAACGGTATAGTCTCCATCTGATCTGCAAGAGTTTCTGCAACTCCTGCAGCTTTCCGTAATCAGCAATATTGAAAACTAATGAAACAATTTCCTGCCATTTTCCCAACTCACTGAAAACCAATTGGTAAAATATGAGGTCTGTGTTGTTATTTCAGTCTAAAATGGAGCACTGGTGTATTTACCTTGCCCTCTGTAAAATATACAGAACAATATAATTTGTTTTCCTAAATTTAATAAATATACACTGTTTGATGATTTTCTTTCTTAATGTAAATAGGTATCAGGAAGCCACTGAGAAGTATGAAGCTGTTATGAAGATGGTGACAAATGTTCCTATCTACACTACTCGAGCCAAAGAGAGAATCTGTCATTGCTTTTCAAAGGTAAACATTTAGTTCACTGGGCAAACTTCTTATGGAGCCACGGTGGCACAATGGTTATAATGCAGTACTGCAGGCTACTTCTGCTGACTGCCAGCTGCCTGCAGTTTGGCAGTTCGAATCTCGCCAGGCTCAAGGTTGACTCAGCCTTCCATCTTTCCGAGGTGGGTAAAATGAGGACCCAGATTGCTGGGGGCAATATGGTGACTCTGTAAACCGCTTAGAGAGGGCTGTAAAAGCACTATGAATATACCGATATAAGTCTAAGTGCTATTGCTATTATTGTCCTCATTGGTTCATCTCACTTTTTTCAGAATCAACAGATGACAGAAGCCATTAAAGTTTGCACAGAAATTCTGCAGCTGGAGCCAGAAAATGTAAATGCCCTCAAAGATCGGGCTGAAGCATACTTGCAAGAAGAAATGTATGAAGAAGGTACACTTTAACTGCATAAAGATTCTTTGTTTTCCTTTACCCAATTTTAAATAAATATACCATTTGTAATCTGGCCAGGCTGGAAATGAATTACTGTACTGCAAAACTCTAAATGAACTCTGTTTGTTGTCTTTGTGATAGCTATCCAGGACTATGAAACTGCTAAAAAATACAGCGATAATGACCAACAGATTCTGGAAAGCCTTGAGAAAGCCCAGCGGATGCTCAAGCAGTCTCAAAAGAGGGACTACTATAAAATTTTAGGAGTTAAAAGGTAAGCATTTAGCAATTGCCAAGCCCCTATAGTTTCCTTAAATATTGCTTTTTCTTCAAGAGGCTATAGAAGTAGTCCTCTATTTAAAGTGGCAATTGGGACAGGAACTGCCATCACTAAGCGATGGGATTATAAAATGTGCCATCACATGACCATGCTGTTTTGTGACAACAGTTGAGGCGGTCCCACTCGCAGCCAGTAAATGAGGACCTCACATGACTACAAGTTCCAACTTCCTTCTAGCTTCCCCATTGTCTTTGCTTTGTGGCAAGCCAGCAGGGAATGTTGGAACTCAAGATCACATGACTGTGGAGACACTGGAACTTCAAAGATTGGTCATAATTCCCAATCATTTAGCACCTTTATAGGTTTAAATGTTTGCTGAATGAGTGGTCACTAGATGCTGTATTATCTTTTTATAAAGCCTGTAACTCAAAACTACCTTAAGGAAGTTCTGTACTAAAGAAGGAAATTTATAAAGGCAACATAGAATGCTGAATGGAGAGAAATTTAGTGCTTGAAAGGAATTGAGCATCCTGGGTGCAGGGAGTCATCATTCTGCATATTTCCATGTTACACAGAAGTTAAGCCATATAATACAAGATGGTACCTGCTAAGAGGACAGCCAAAGACTTTGAATTCCCATCTTCTGACAGGGATCTCGGCTTCTTTTTAAAAAAGTTTTATCATAGCATGAAAAGATAATTTCCAAGTTATTTCTTATACTTCTGACAGGAATGCCAGGAAACAGGAAATCATAAAAGCCTACAGGAAGATGGCAATGCAGTGGCACCCAGATAATTTTCAGGATGAAGAAGAGAAGAAGAAAGCAGAGAAAAAGTTTATTGATATTGCAGCTGCCAAAGAAGTCCTCACAGATCCAGGTAGATAAATGTGTAGCTTGTCTGATTTCTTACTTTCAGAATAAGAAGCGAGCCAGTTGGGTTGTTTTTCACTTCATCTTTATGACGACCAATCAACATTCATTTTCCTTTGATGTCCAGTGCTGTGTTTATTGAGGTTATTTCATTTTTGAAGGGATTCAACTGATAAATGGGCCAGAGAGCTTGATAAATGGCTTATACAGGTATAGTGAAGTAAAATAGTAGCATTTTTGGTGCTAGCTGCACATCCAACTTCTGTGCTTTAGAGCTATCCTTGAGATTTTTCTTAACAGGCAATAGGTATGTTTATTAGCTTTCTGGTTAAAACTCATTCACGGTGATTCTCCCTCTGACATTCTGTTTAAAACTATTACATTTAAGTTTGAGGCCATGTTCACACAATACACTTAACCTAATAATTGAAGCTTGATGAATGTTAACCAAGCTTCATACTCATAAGTGTTTTATGTGTTGTGTAAATCCAACAATATAGTTAACCTCAGTAACAGATTAAGCAGCCATTGAATATCAGCTACAATGATTTGTGAGGAGGGAATTTGGGGGCTGTGTGGTTCCAGGAGTACAGATGTGGACTTCCAATGTATCAAAGCCTTGACACATGCTTAGTTTCCTGCTTTTTTGCCTCTTCCTTTACTAAGCTCTGCACCAGAAGGCAGGACAAAAAGTAATGGATGAAAACTTACAAAGGAGAGATCCAACCACTGAGAACAATTAATCAGTGGAGCGGCTGTTGTGGGTTCAAAAGATGTGGGTGCTTCATCACAGAAAGTTTTTAAGAAGAGATTGGACAGCCATCTGTCTGAAATGGTACAGGGTCTCCTGATTGAGCAGGGGGTTGAACTAGAAGACCTTCCAACTCTCCTCTTTTATTATGTGACCCCAGGTTTCAGCTGGTGACTGGCTTATCTGGATGTGGAAATTAAGCAGGAGGAAGGCTATAGATCAGTGGGCCCCAACCTTTTGGGCACCAGGGGACCGATTCCGTGAAGAAACATTTTTCCACGGACTGGAAGGGTTGCTTGAATGAATAAATGAATGAATGAATGATTATTCTGAATAAATATTTTGCCCTTTGGAGAAAATTGTCTGTGAAGGGCAAGCAAGTTTCAAAATATTTTGCTATCTCTCTCTCTCTTTTTAGAGTGCAGCTATGCCTATGCTTACATCACTGCTTTTTATGTATTTGTTCATTTTTTGTGCTTGATGCTTTAGTGGCTTTAGAATCAAAACATTTGGATGAAAGTTTATGGAGTTCCTTTGTCTCTACGTCTGATTCAGCTGATTGCCATCTTTGTATCTTTTATAGAAATGCGGAAGAAGTTTGATGCAGGAGAAGACCCATTGGATGCTGAGAGCCAGCAAGGGGGAGGTCACCCTTTTCACCGATCTTGGAATTCCTGGCAAGGGTTTGACCCCTTCAGTTCTGGGGGACCTTTCCAGTTTAAATTCCATTTCAATTAGAACTGCTATACTCTTTTTATTTTATTTTTCCTTTTGCATCTGGCAATCTGCATTTTTTTCTAGATAACTTAAAATTACCGTCTAGTCTTTGAACAGTCGTGAAAGCCAGGGTTTTGTTTTGTTTTGTTTTTGGTGATAGTTCAAAAGGGATAGCAAAATCCAGCCATATCAATAATATCAGTTAGTTCCGGGCCTCAAAGCTCCACCTCAAGACAAATCCATGTTTGAGAAGAAACTGACTCAAAAAAGCACTTTAAAGTTTACTAAACCATTGGGGCCCTTTTGTGGGAATTAATCACTTGAAATAACAAAATATACTCCAGCTTTAGTTACCACAAGAGGAAATGCTAAAGTCTCAAGCGACTGTTGGAAGTATTACACGTCTGCAGGATATGACTGTTTACATCAAACAGACATTGGTCACTGCAGCCAGTTTATAGACAGTTTAAGTTGTTCTGATTAATGTTACAAGGACAATTTTCTCTGATTAAAACCTCTCCTCCTGGTTGCTTTTAAAGAATTCAAGGGAATTAAATTTTTAGCCAGGTGGCAGGGAACCATTTTCCATTGAAAATTTGCTTGACATTTGAGCAGGACTGAGATATTGGCCATAATAAGTAGAACTTTGTTCTGCTCTTGAAGATATTTTTTTTAAAGGGTAGTAGATGATCATCCTCTTCACAACTATTATATGCATGTCTGTTGCTGCACAGACTAATAACTCACGGAGCCGACTGAAAGTGTTTTCACGCAACCGAAATCTGATATAATGAACTGTATTCAGAACGGAGCCTGGAGTCATCTTGGGATGTAATATTGAACTTGCCTTTCTTTCACATCCGGTCTTTTTCAAGAACGCAGTTTTGAACCCTTGTCAAAATGATCTTCATCTTTCACTTTGCTTGTTCTCATTAACACATGGACGGCCCAGTCTATTTCCATGCAAGTGTCCAAACTTCTGAAAAATTAGTGGTTGAATCTCACTAGCTTTGGGGTGTAACGTTCTGTTCTTTAGGAATGCTTTTGAAATGATTTGGATTCATCTCAAAATATGCCACGATGGACGTTTGTTGAGTGAGCATTCAGACAAAAAACCAGGACCCCCAAAGTGCTTTCATGTTTCTCTCCTCGAGAATGACTCCAGAAATGCTGGGAGATGTTAACCTATTAACAAATTATCCTTATGTTTTGGACAGGATTGCATAAAGTGCCATTGTTAGGATGGGGGTTTCTTTGACCAAATCCTATCAGTCCATGTTTATACAGGACGTGGTTTGGGCTGCATTGATGTTGCTGGAGCTGCTTGTCCTAGAAAGGCCACCAGGCCTGCGCCTGGATTGATCCAAAGGTTTGGCAGTGCTTCTGGGTCAATTGAAATCAAAGATTGCCTTGGAAGTATTTGCCAGAATAAATCAGGGGTTGAAGGGGGGGGAAGATACGTTCTATGAAAACTATGTTGTTCTATGTTGAAGGTAATGAAATACTAAATAGTATTCAACAGTAGCACATAGTTGTTTTAATTGCTTTAAATCCTGAAGGGTTTTTTTGAGGGGCCAGGGTTGGCTGTGTTGGGTGGGAGGGATAGGACAAGTTGAATTCTGAAGTTAACAATTGTGCCAAACCTTAATTTGTTTCTACGCCAAGAAATGAATAGAAATTGCGTTATTATGCTGTTGTTCCTAGTAGACTTTGGTGGAATTTTAAAAAATCTTATTTCATTCCTTTGGAAATTAAAGAAGCTATTTAAAAGGCAGTTCAGTTATCAGTTGCTACCGTAAAGTATCCATGGAATTAAATGCATCAAATGTAGGGGAAAAATGGGAACTTTGCCTTTTGCAAAATAGCAGTATATTTTAAGACCACAAAGATTAAAATTTCTTTTTCAACTTTACTACTTTGAAATCTGGAAGCTATTTTGTGACGGTGTAGTTTTATATTAAATCGGTGGCATTGGTGTACATGTGTTACGTCTGAAATCTGAAATTTAAAATTCTGCTTTATCAAAGCCTGTTACATGTACTTATCAAAATAATTATTGCCTCTCTTATTGGGACAATGTTTGGAACCCAGTCTTCTTTATATTGAACAGAAATGAGACCAAAATAATGCTAAATATTTACTAGGAGGTGTACTATAATATCTAAGTCCTTTGCCCGTTAATATATGATGTGATAATACACGGAAACTACTGCCAAGTTTCCCCCTTTACAGCAGGGGTCTCTAACCTTGGCAACTTTAAGACTTGTGGACTTCAACTCCCAGAATTCTGTGAGTTGAAGTCTACAAGTCTTAAAGTTGCCAAGGTTGGAGACCCCTGCTCTACAGGAAGCTGTGGTCTACAGAAGAGTGGTCAAAGTAATACACTTTCTTCTTTTTATATAATTTTGTGACAGGCTAACAGAAACTGTTTTATCTGTTTTGCTATATTTTGCAATGGGAGGTTGCAATACTTGATTCCAAATGGATACTTTGTCTAATTGGAAAAAGAAATGGTTGCTTTAAAAGAAACAAATACAAATTTTAGGTGTATACACACCAAAGTCTCTTTTCTGAATGGTTCCTGACGTTCTCTGTCGCCCTACTTTATACTAAAGAATTGGCCAGCAAGCTTAAGCTGGAAGCTCAAGAGCAGGGTTTTTCAAATGTGTTCTACAAAATTTAAGGAGAGATTAAAGGCAAATAAGAGTTAATCCCAACACAGTGTTTTCAGTCATTACAGCCTCTTGCGCAGGAGTTCTAGAATTTTTTTTTTTTATTAAATTAACCTGTTCTGGGGCCTGAAAAGGTTTGCCAGCCTCTTTATTCCCGAGATCATCAGTGAGCCCAGCAAGGCTGAGATAATTAAATATATTGAGGAAGATCCTTTAAGATCACAGAAAACACAAGACACTAAAACAGGCTTCCTCGTTAATTGACATTTTTCATCATGGAGCAAATAAATGAGCGTTCGAGAAGAATCAGTGATTTTTAAAATCATATTTATAAATACGCTTGAGACAGAATAAGTTGTCATGATCAATGTGAAATCTTTGCAGATTGTAGAATGCCTTAACCTAGTAATGGCTGCTTGGTGTTTCTGGCCCACCTGTAAAGCCCTGATAACCTGAGTTAACAAGCTTTGCACAACCAAGCACAGCTTCCGAACAATCTGAATATTTTAAAAGCAAAGAGATCAGAACTGATTTTTAGGGTTCAAACTCCTCAATGATATGACAAAGTTACATCCCTCCGAGTTCAAGGAGCAGAGTATTTGCTCAATAAACCCTCAGAGTTTTTATTATCAATGAGTTAAGATACTTTTAAAATGCTCTTTGCAAGTTGATTGCTATTTTAGAATGACTATGCAGAGCTAATGGTTACTTCTGATGTCACCACCATTATCCATACCTGTCCCCAATCATCCTTTCTAACTTAAATAATGGGAGGTAATATAGAATCTATGGCACAAGTTTGTTCAGTTTGCTTTCCTCTTTTCTGTTACTTTTTGCAGATGGAAAAATTTGACCACAGTGAATATATGTGAATATTTTTTCCATAATGGGAAATCTGGAACAGGATGCAGGAGTCTCCTGGAGAGAGGGAGGGGGCTCACTGAAACAGAATTTTCAGAAAGTGATGAGGAAGGCTGAATAAAAAGATTAATAAATAATTTCAAGTTTTGTGTTAAGTGTGAAATATTGTTACAGAAGCCCTTACAGGAAGCATTTTGAAATTTAAATATAATACTGCATTAAGGATTCCATTTATTTTCTATATAGAAAGGCACCTAGATACCATCATTTCCAAATACGTTTTATTTACTGGGCATCTTTTACAGTCTGTTAGTTCCATGCCATGTGCAAGTCATTTTTTTTTTTTTAAAAATTGCACAAATACACAATGTATCTCAATTACATTAATTAAAAGCAGTCTTTGTTTTCTGTCTGTGGTTGGCATTGACAAATATTCCTAAAGTTCATCATGCTTGGACTCTGTAAAAGAATTTAATATTATTAATTCTGAATGCACATCACTACAAAGCAAGACAATATTAAAACTGACTGGTATTCTCTTTGTTAAAGTCATTCTCTCACCATTCCTTTTTTCTATCATCCCACCACTACAATGTAATGAGATAGGAAACTACCGTGTTTCCCCAAAAATAAGATCCTGTCTTACGTTTTTTTGAACCTCGAAATAAACGCTTGGCCTTATTTTCGGGGAGGTCTTATTTTGGGGCGTGTGGAGCAAGATGGGGCTCCTCTTGCCGTCTTACCTGATTTCCAACTCTGTGTTTAAATATTTTCGGGGAGCACTTATTTTCGGGGGAGGCTTATTTCAGTGCATGCGCTCAAAAGCCTGATTGGGCTTATTATCAGGGGATGTTTTATTTTCGGGAAAACGGGATTTTTACGGAAGGTGAAAAAATATAAATTAAGATTGCTGAACTGCACTTAGGATGTACCCACCCTCCGAATCCAACCAACTGCATAGGATTAGGGAGACAACATTAGAGAAGATACCCATGCAATGTTATCTCTTCAAGGAAGATAAACAAAACCAAACAATCCTCTTCTCTTCCCAGGGCAATTTCATGAGCTACAGAAGTTTCTCCTTTGTCTCACCTTTTGGATGTAATTGGGTCCCGTCTTTCTTCTCGTTTCTGATGCGATTTATTAACTTCTGTATTTCAGAGTCATAATCTGTCCATTCAGGAACAATCCTGATAGCAGCTTCTAGTTTAGGTTCCTTCGTTTTGGGATTGTTGCACTGAAATATATATATTTTAGGAAAAAGGCTTACCATGATTTAAAGTCAGAAACAAAACCCTATTGCTACAAAAGAAAAATAACCATGAAAAGAACTACATGTATTAAAATGAAAATGGGTGGAGTTGTAAATGAGTTACATTATCAAAAATGTCAAATGCTATGGACTATGTGAGATAATTAGTCCAGAATGTAAAAAATCCTAAGGTAAATCAAGAATGTTTCCATTTCTACTGGCTCCAAATGACAGCTGAGAAAGTGAAACAAACCAAATTCGTTTTCCAAGTCTCTGCTATCTCCCTGTTCTCCAACACAGGACTTAGACCCTGAGGGCCCCCCAGCTTCTCAATGTAAACTTCTAAAGCAGGGGTCCCCAACTCCCGGTTCGTGGACCAGCAATTGGGCCGTGACACCAGAAACCAGGCTGCGCAAACAAGCGAAACCCCATCCACGGGATGCAGGCTGCATGCGAAATCACGCCCCCTCTGGTCCACAGAAAAACCTCTCCACGGAACCTGTCCCTGGTGCCCAAAAGGCAGGGGGCCGCTGTTCTAAAGTATGCATCATTTTTGTTGCCCACAGTACTATTGCACAATGGAATTATGCTGACATACTGGCAATCATTATGCAAATGATTCTGGGGGAAAATCAGATATTAATATTTTATAGAGAATAACTTGTCATGCTTTCCAATTGCTACTCTATTAAGCTGCAGAAACATCTGGAAAGCATTCCTTTTATAAACAGAACTATCTGTCACCTGCTCTCTGGAACCCACAGCTATCTATCTATTTGGATTGGCTCCTCTGAACTGCGCGCTCGTCTGAACTGCAACCCGGAAGAGGAGCTGCTCAGGGTGCATGCGCGTGCCCGAAGATTAAATTCTGGTTTCTGGTGCATGCATGCGCGCCAGCCAGCTAGTCTTCTGGGTTTCTGGCGCACATGCGTGCACACCGATCAGCTGGATGGCGTTCATACTCTTCCAGTTTCCAGCACTGCCGCACGCACGAAGGCCAGCTGATCATCGTGTGCGCATGCACGCCAGAAACCCGGAAAAGGAACGGATGATGCCACGCGTGCCAGACAACATGACTCCGTGTGCCACTCCAGGCACGCGTGCCATAGGTTCGCCATCATGGGGCTAATCCATGTGTGATCAGGTTTTTCTTCTCTCTTCCTCCAAGCTATGGAATATAAAGTACAACAGAAATATGGAACAGTAGTTCAAGATGCTCCGAGAGATAAATCCTGTTAATGCTGCAAATTCAGGCAGGACCCACAATGTACCACTATTTCATGGTTTCCATGATTCAGTTATTAACTTTTACATCTAACAAAAATGGAGACAGAATTTTGACTCCCAAATATCTACGTTATGGCTAGTCAGGATTCCAAGGGACTGGGAAAAAAATGCTGCTATGAAACTGCTTATAGCAGCTCTTCCTAACTTCACTCCATTTTACACCCACTCACCAGATCAATGGTTTTAGCCTTTTGTTTTGATTCATTGCTGCACCAAGTTTCACACCATAGCCATTCTTGAGGGAGAGATTTAATAGGCACCTGATGAATCATGTTATTTGGAAGATCCTAAAAAGGTAAGATTTAGAATTGTTATTCGGAAGACAATATGCTGTCCATTGTACCTAATGTATTTTCTGTGCTGGTTGAATTACAATTGCCATCAAGCTCAGACAATGCAGATATATTGGAGAACAAAATTTGTAATCCAACCTTCTAAGAGCACCTTGGCTGTTGCTTGGGAAGAGGGGGTAAAGTATCACACATAACCTTACCTTAGTTTTCTTTGTTACTTTTTACTTTACTTTTGAATGTATACCGTACTCAAAACTACAATACAAAATTCACTCAGCAATACCAAAATAAAATTTAAATTTAAAAAATCCAACAATAATAAAAATTAATGCAATAATAAAAGCTAGGCAAGATATATCAAGTACTGGAAGATTGGTCTAAGGATAACCACAGTAATCAAGTAATGGAGTTGAAGAAAACTCCTTCATTGGCAGCAGCTAAACCAAATCTAGTATGATGCAAGTATAGGGCTAAAGATGAATTCTAACAGGCTTGAGGTTATCATGGTAGACATGAATTCTGAGCCACTCTTCACTGGCAACCTTAGCATGGACAGTAATCTCCCAAAAAAGAGGTTAGAATAGTTAAGGGCCAGGCTAAAGATCACCTCAACTGGGGCAGACAGTACATTAACAGTATCCCTACATTTTCTTAAGACACCCAAACATAGCAACATGAGGCTTCACCCATTTCTCAAGCAGTGTCATGCCCCTATCGGAGTCTGAATCTGGAGGGGAAGAGGAACAGCTGACAGCGAGAGTGTGGCTCCATTGGCTGTGGAAGAAACGGGAAAGGCAAAGTCAGGCTGGGCAGAGCAGGGGAGAGGTAGAACAAGGGAGAGGGGGTTCAGATGAAGACCAAGGCCCATCCCCTCCTCATCCTAGGCAGTGCAGGGAGGAACGGAGAAGAGAGCAACGTGGGTTGCATGGTTTACGAGGGAGGAAAGGGCCTCGATTCCCTTTACAAGGCACACCTGCTGATGGAATTTAAAGGACAGGCAATGGGAGGGGAGGTTGTCGGGAACAAATGCTGAGTTCATCTTGTGTTTATCTGAGTTCCTGGCATCCTCCCAACTGGTTTGATTTACTGCCGTGCTACTTCACTTCTGGAACTCCTTATCTTGCTGCCCTGCCGGATTAATTGCCTTATCTTGCCTTGATGGATTTATAGTTGAAAGTTTTCTGCTTACAACATTTGGGACTGAAATATTGTGAGCCAAAGACTATTACAGGTTGGTGGAAGAGCTCTCTCCAGGCCAGAGAGTTGAAAGGGACATTGGGGGCACAGTTGGTGATAATAAAGGGACTCATATCAGTTCTCTGGCTGTCTTGCCTTTGTGTCATGTCCCGG